ACATTGCAATATAATTGTACTGCACAGCCTTATGGTGTCAAGACCACACTTCTCTAAGGTGTGTGTGTGCATGCGTGTGTGTACGCGGGATTAATTGTAGCGAGTGCGGGGCCTGATGTCATCTGTCAGCACCATAATGAAGTGCTGGCGACTCCACACTGGGAGGATGAGCAAAAACAGATACCCCAGCCCGTTCCCTCTCCCGCCTGCCATTTGTCTGTCTGTCCCCACCTCCAGCTGCTGACAGCTCACCTCTCTAACTAGAAGACGTGATTGGTCCGTTTCTTCCTGTGGATCCCTCGAATGGGCTCCAGCTTCACATGCATTATGTGGAAATGTGTTGGTCTGGTGTCAGTCCTGACTAGGGGATGGGTATCATTAAGGTTTTTACTCTTACCGATACTGCTTATCGATCCGGTACTTTAACGGTACTCTTATCGGTTCTTTTTGTTATATTATATACAGTATATATAAACAAATTAAGAACATAATTAACATTGCTTTATAACCTGAAATGTAAAATGTCTATAGCAAAAGAAACGACAATGTTTGAACAAAACAAATATAAAACATCCATTTGTAAATGGACCGGTTTGCAGGCATTTGCGTATTGTGTTTTATATGCATAAGATACAATAAGAAAAATAGCAAAGAAACAGGATACAAATGAAATACAGTGCTTTAATTGCAGGAATGTCTACTAACATTAGTTCAGGTAAGTAATATGGCCTACAAAAGAAATCTAATAAATGTACAATAACTGCATAGGTTTCACTGTAAAGTATAAAATATAACGTGCTTGCCTAAAGTATAAAATGTTTGTGTAGTTGCGGTGTGTTTTTGGAGCACACACACATAAAGCCTTGAAGTTGGAAACAGCGTCTTTTGCGTGGGTTATTGTGCTTTTAATAGCTCTTCTTATTATAAAACACGTCCCGCAATTTAGCAACTGTAGAGACTGCATTTTACAATCACCGGTTGTGCTGATTCTGACGTTAAGTTTGGGTTTTTAGGGAGATACGAATGTGAAGCAAATGAAGCTTATTAGTTTGACCTCAAATATCTTCTTCTTATAATCCTTGGAAGCCAAAATTGAAATCAAAAATAAAATTGGATTAAAATGACAGCCCTAAAGTGTAAGCACACTGTAGTTCCGCGACACCAGAACCGGTAACGTCTATTGATACTGCGGTCTTTCATAGTTTAGCACCGGAGCTCATTTAATACCGGATTTCAGTACCCATCCCTAGTCCTGACAGTGCAGTCTGCAAGTTTGACAGATAGAGAGAGCAGCAGCTGTCTGACATTGAGATATGCACGGCCGCTATTCCCTTGCTGGCACGGGCCTGTGCTTTTAAAATGGAAATGTATTGCTCACCACGTATCCAGCGATTTGAGGACGAATTAAAAAACGCCTGAAACTGAGAGACCAAGAGTGATGGTTTCTCAGGCGTCTCGGCTGCGAGACAGTTTGGCACTTGCTGAGCACGGGCTGATGTTGCTCCTGTGAGCGGTTTACAGAGCTTTCTGCTGCTTGTGTTTCCTCGTGCCAGTCAGGATTGTTTGAAATTCAGGATCGAACTTTCTTTGTCTCTGGAACAAACTTCACCTTAATGAAGGTCTTTAAAGGGGTGGTATAATGCCCCCTTTTTACAATATGTAAAATAAGTCTCTTTTGTCCCCAGAGCGTGTATGTGAAGTTTTAGCTCAAAAAACCACACAGATAATTTTGTACAGCATGTTAAAGTTGTCCCTTTTTGAGGGTGAGAAAAAAACGCGTTGTTTTGTGTGTTTCCCTTTAAATACAAATGAGCTGCTGCTCCCGGCACAGAGGGCGGAGCTTCAAGAGCTTGTGTGTGTGTGTGTGTGTGTGAGTAGCTCCGATTACCTCACGCAGACACACACTAAAATGTCAGAAACTGTTCTGTCTTTTATGTTTAAACGAGTCGGACAATGATGAAGAGACTCAAGAAGTGACAACATGGACATTTCTGAACGGTTAGTTGATGAATTTATGTTGCTGATGTGGAGTTCAAGTAGCCTGGCTGCCAGCCCGAACCCCGCCCACAACAATTTTTGGTCGGGAAGTTCGGTCTGGACTCAATCCGTTGAGGAGCTATTATGCCCGATCAAAAATTGTTTGGACCAATCAAATTGTCAGGGCGGGCTTTATACGATGATGGACAGATGAGCAACCATAGACATCATATCTATGTGAGCAACGGTAACGTAACCATCCACGTCATCAGAGCGCTTGGGTTGAATTCATGGCTGCCGCTGGAGAATTGAGTTGTGTATATTCCGCTATCGCGTGTGTTATAGAAGATATAGACAGCGCATTAATATTAGAAGAGGAACAGGGAACCGCGATCAAGGCATTTGTCGATGGAAAAGATGTTTTTGCCGTCCTTCCTACGGGATTTGGAAAAAGTTTAATCTATCAACTTTAATCTCTCTCTCAACATACGTCACTTACTCCGTTGCTCTGATTGGTTGTAGGTCTATCCAATTGAGTGCAGAGGCCTTTTATTTCCTGGTTCGGTTGACACACGCCCCATAATCACAGCCCAATGGAGCAGTATCAGACTCACATTCTGACTAGAATATGAGTATGACGAAGTCAGGCTAGAGTTCAAGTCTTTGATTAGCATATTCTGTCATGATAATCTATAAAATTCCTCATGTGGGAACTGTTGTAAGATTCCTACAGAGTGATATGTTAATGCATTTGCATTACGCACTGTATTGCTTGTGAAAAGACAGATGTGATAGTTTGAGCGGACAAAACAAATACCTTCCTTTGCTTTTTGAACTTTGAGCGTTGTAACTTTGCAGATGTTGTTTATGCTCAAACAGCAACATTACACACTAACTAAAGTTAGAAAAGTGAAATCATAATCAACCACCCTTTAAATAAGCGTTGTCACCTTTTAATCCCACGATCATCTTGATAATGCAGAGTCACGGCTGATGGGATCTGGGTGGCCGTCTGCCCTGCGAGTGTGCCAGCTCCACTGGCCTGTCATCATCCGTCTTTTATTTAAACATAGAGGACGCATAACAATTACATAGCCTAATTATACCTACATTCATGTCAATAAGTCGAAATAGAAATGTTAAAAAAATTGCTGTACAGAATTAAAACTGATCTCTGACACTGTGATCCAACTTTTATGTTCACTCTCAGGGTCCCGGGACACAGTTTTAAGGGGAGACACTCTCCTTCGCCGGGCCTGTTATTTAGGCTTTTCTATAGTAGACTTAAGTGGGCCGAACTTCTCCTTGATGGCTTCACAAGTAAGTTGATATGCCATTAGCCACCAGATGCTTCCAACTACCTTCGTATGACCTTCTCAAGCGAGGCAGATATGACAGTATGTGCCTCCCTGACTGGCACAGTGGGCCGTCTCCCAAAATTCACAGCTCCGGAGCCTTGCCAAGACCGTACCCTATTTTTACGGTTCTGTCTGTCTCATTCACAGTGAGACTTGGCTTATCTTACTGACACAAAGCTGAAGGTGTGGCGTTCCTTGATTGGCCAACACCAGTAGCGCTGAGCAATTGACTGCTGTTGGGTTGGAGTCAATTCTGTTTTGGGATAGACGGTCACCTTTACATTAACGTTGTGTTTCGAGAGTGTCCCAAGATTTTAAGATTTAAGCTTAGCTTAATATGATCAATTTAACTGCACTGACACTATAAGATGAGAACTAAATTGAACTGGATAATGACACTAACTAGCGATGCATCGATTATGATTTTTCATGGACGATTCCCCTTTTTTTTTACAAACAAATTGTCCGTTGTCAGTTGCTGCTTTTTTTTTTCTTTAAGCAAATGTATTTATTTATTTGCTCTATTAGGGGCAAACTGGCCTTAAAACAAAAATATCTGTAGCCAATAGAAATTACAGACAAGACAACCACTGCATTTTAATCCCGATCCAAACAAAAATTCTAGCATGACCAGTTGTTTTTGAATTAGATTGTATAATTTCAAGATTTAAAGCAAAAACAGAATGATCTGACTTTAGCTTTGTGAAATTATGCTGCATAAGACACCTGCACAAAAGAAAACAGCAGATGGGTCATGGTTTCTTTGATTACCGCCGTACACAAAGTAGCGCTGCACTTATAAACACTACCTTATGCATAGGTTAGAGGAAAAGAAAGTGCCATCAAAACTTCTGAAGACAGCCAGTTCCTTTCAGAGATGCATTCATATAAACTCCAACGCCCATTCAATGTTTATATTTTTCATCCAATATTTCGAGAATGGTGAACATCACTGTGCTGGTACAGTGTTTGCTCTGCTGGCGCATCTGTGTTCTCTTCTTAGCATCCGTCTTCAGCGTGTCCTGTCTCTGGCCTGTGTTAACATCCTGTTTATAGGCTTCATAATATTTCCACACAAATGGCATTTTGGTAAATGATTGCAATGTAGTTTGTGCGCAGTTCCGAAATAGAGATCGGCCAAAAATAAAACAAAGAACAGTTTGGAGCAAAAACTGGCCAGTTCTGATTTATGGCTGGTAAACCGGTGCATCTCTAACACTAACTTTACAACATTGACACTGTTATTGAACTGACTTGAGCAGAACAATGATGACACTATTGTCTTCTGTAGAGCTGCATATAGCTGAATTGAACTTGTTTCATAAATGGAACTGACAGTTATTGAAATGAATTGAAACAACAGATTTGAACTGAATTGCCACTGAATTGCAACATCGACACTGTTATTGAAGTGTATTGAATCAACATTGAACTAACTTGAGTAGAATAATGACACTATTGTCTTCTGTATAAAGCTGAATTGATCCTGTTCCATAATTGATGAGGTTTACAATATTAACACTGTTATTTTCCTGTTTATTAATGTGACGCTGCTTTAAAACAGTCTGTATTGTATAGTTCTATATAAATAAATGTGACTCGACTTTAATTCCAGTCCATTTGGAAGTCTGAAAACCCTAATCTCTGACCTTTCCCTCCCTGCAGAAAAAGAGTCGTGAAGAGAGCGAAGGCGAGGGCAGCGGGGTGGAGATCCTGGAGAACCGACCCTACATAGACGGCCCAGGCGGCTCTGGTCAATACACCCATAAGGTTTACCACATAGGCCAACACATCCCTAGCTGGTTCCGCTCTATCCTGCCAAAAGCCGCGCTTCGTGTGGAAGAGGAATCCTGGAACGCCTACCCATACACTCGTACACGGTGAGTGCCATAGCTCCTAATAATAAAACCCTCTGGCTTTTTTTCAAGAGTACTCCGATGAAAATCCAAAAGGCCTTGTTGTTCTGGTCTTAAATAGTAGATCTGTTTACTTTCTTAAAGAGGCCATATTATCCCCATTTTCAAAGTCTTAAAGGGATATTTCACTTTGAAATACATTTTTGATATGTTTTAACTTACCTCAAGGGCATCCAAGATGTAGATGTCTTTGTTTCCGCGCAAGTTTCAATTTTGATATTTTTAGGTCAAACCGTTCTTGTCTGTCAGTCATATAATGCAGGTCTATGGTCACCACCTCAAAGAGCACGCACAGAGAAGTCCAAATTAAACATGATTTAATGACTCGTAAATGTAAGTACACATTGATGGCCTAAGACACGAAACGAGCGGTTTGTGTGAGAAAAGGAACAGTATTTATATCGTTTTTACCTCTTGTAACGCACAGACCGAAGCGCCGGCGCCCTCAGATCACTTGGACGTGGCTGTGTTTACAAGAGGTAAAAACGATATAAATACTGTTCGTTTTCTCACACAAACCGCTCGTTTCGTGTCTTAGGCCATCAATGTGTACTTACATTTACGAGTCATTAAATCATGTTTAATTTGGACTTCTCTGTGCATGCTCTTTGAGGTGGTGACCATAGACCTGCATTATATGACTGACAGACAAGAACGGTTTGACCTAAAAATATCAAAATTGAAACTACTGCGGAAACAAAGACACCTACATCTTGGATGCCCTTGAGGTAAGCTAAAACATATCAAAAATTAATTTCAAAGTGAACTATCCCTTTAATTTTGTTTCTGAACTCTACTAGAACAGGTTTTCATGCTTGAATGTTTAAAAAACACATAATTTTTTCCCATATTTGACATTGTTGCAGCTCCTCTTTCCAGTCTCTCAGTAACACTCAATATAGTTCCTGTCTTTATGAAGCCCCTCCTACTGAAAAGTGCAAGTTCGAGCGCGTTTGAAATTTTAAAAATGTCATGTCCCTTACCATAACTGCGAGTTTCAACACACTACTAACGAACTCAACCAGGCCCCGCCCCTTTATTCTGCGTATGAATTATTTAAATGAGGAAAATTATGACGTGTTCGTTCCCGGAAGAAACTCAAGACTTCTATGAATGGAGGCGTTTCAGGGAGTTCAGAAACACTGACACTGATATAGAGAAGAACTCCCGCTGGAGGGACTTTGTGCTTTGTAACTTTGCAGAGCTTTTTCATGCTCAAACAGCAACATTACACACTAAAGAAAGATGAACATGTAAAAAAGCATAATAGGACCCCTTTAAAGCATCTTTCTGGTCTTATAGTGAGTTTCACGTTGAGTGCAGCTTAGGGATAAACTTCCACTGCAATACACATGTATCTGTTACCTAATGAAGGGGTCGTGATGGGTATAGACAACGCCTGTGTGAAGAGAGGATAAGCTCGCATGAACCTCTGTGGTAATGCATGACACTGATATGATGAAATGGCATCTGAGTTAATCTTTCCTCGTCTGTCCTGCAGCTACACGTGTCCTTTTGTCGAAAAGTTTTCCATCGATATCGAGACGTACTACAAGCCGGACACGGGTTGCCATAATGACGTCTTCAACATGTCCTCGGCCGAAAGGAGACAACGGGATATAGGTATTGTTGCGCTTTCTTTTTTTCATTCAGCAGGCATGCTTGATGCATTCATTTAAATGATGCGTTTGACAGTTTCAAAATATTCAAATCGGCAAAACCACAACTGAGCATCTAGAACAATTGAGTTTCTAAGAGGTCCAATCATTAGCATGCTTTTTACCACGTGAGCACTACCTTCTTCTTTAACCAATCTCAAATAATCTCAAGCTCTCGAGTCATGCCTCAGTGTTTAAGATGCAGACAGCGTGTCGCTTCATTGACATAGTATCATGCTGCTGCTGGGTAACGTGCCGCTGCACGAGAGCCCCATTGCACTCTGGGACAGGTACTGGAGGCTTTCTGAGCCGAACATAGACAGACGCAGGCACTGCAGGGGGAAGCGCCCTGTGAATGCTGTTACATAACTCCATTCCTGACTGAAAACATGTACCTTTGTCAGTGTGCTGTGAAGACACCTAGAGGCCGTCTGCCAACACGGCAGTCTGCGAACAGGAAACAACCCAAGATCAGCAACTGTGAATAACTGAAGACATACGACGCTAGATTAAGACTTGACAGATTAGAGATCTGAATTAAGAGTTGTTCTTTAAGAAAAGGCAAGTGAATAAACAAAGAAGAGTAAAAATTATGATACCGCTCAATGATTCTGGTTCCTTAACCATTTCATTAGTAATTGTTTTAGTATTTTCAAAGATGTTACTTCCACTGTCAAAAACTGTTCCTAATGTAGGTGTGTTTGTGTGTGTATACGTGTATAAAAATACAAAAATATATATATTTTTAGTAGGGCTGTCAAATGATTAATCACGATTAATCACATCCAAAATAAAAGTTTTTTTTACATAATATATGTGGGTGCACTGTGTATAATTATTTTGTATATATATAAATACACACACATGCATGTATATTTAAGAAAAAAATATAATTTATATATAAAATATTTATATATAATATAAATTATATATAAATCTATATACAGTATATACATGAAAATATTTCTTAAATATATACAAGCATGTGTGTGTATTTATATATATATAAAATAATTATTATACACAATGCACCCACATATATTATGTAAAAAAAAACTTTTATTTTGGATGTGATTAATCACGATTAATCATTTGACAGCCCTAATTTTTAGTAATACATATTCATTTTTCTAAACAAAGTTCCAATTATGGACATGACAAAAGTTCCTTTTTTAGTGGAACAGCCCGATTCCTAATACTAAATGAGAAAGACTTTATGACACATACGACAAACAGATAAACTAGGTTTTACGGCCTCAGACAACTCAAGGTCCATGTCATTACCCTCAATAAAATCTCTGTGATGAACTGATTTGGTTTGCATTAATGGATTAAATATGAACCCATTCGTGCCTTGTTATCACACGCTTTTTTTTTTTTTGTTGCAAAAAATGCAATCGCTAATGGAAGCAATTGTCTTTCACAGATCCTATCGATATTGTGAAAGATTTCATTGCCCCTCATGAGTACCTAGTTGAAGAGGACCCTAAACTCTACAAGTCGAATAAAACGCAGCGGGGCCCCCTGTCTGATGACTGGATCTCGGAAATCAACATCAACCCAGGCAAAATGCCCGTCATGTGCGCTTACAAGTTGTGTAAAGTGGAGTTTCGATACTGGGGCATGCAGTCCAAGATTGAGCGCTTCATTCATGATGTGGGTAAGTGTTTGGAAATATTCAGACACCTCCTTGGGATTTTATATATATATATATCTATCCAGTGAATTTATTATCAACTTGGTGCCAGTACCAGTCGGTGGTGTCCTCTACCATATGTCCACCACTGTTATTAGCACTGAGAGGACATTTGTCTCTCCAATAATTCTATATGAGTCAGCTGATCCATCTGTTGCATATGTGCGTGAATTGATGCTCGGTAACATCCTGTTATCGTTGTGCGTGGGTGGGCAGCAGGTGTCGAGCGTTTTGTCAGGAAAAAAGCCCTTAATCATTAACCTGCACTTAATGAAAACGAGATTGATGCTGTGCGGATCCAGTCTAAATCAACGATTGGAGAACCACCTCCTCCTGACTACATCAGAGCAGAATTAATTTCCTTTCCATGTGCCGTTCGCTTGCCGCTTAATGTTTTTATTACTTCGATTTCGGCTTGTTTATTGGCTCCTTTCTCTGATCATTTGCAAGCAGACTGTTGTTGTTCCTCATTTGCGAAAGTCTTTAACTTTGGCTGATTCGCTTTTATTTTTATCAATTTGTCCTCTCCCTGTTTCCTGGCCGCTGTGAAAACAATTTTGTTTGCACGTCTCTTCATTACTAAGCTCAATTATCTGAACGACTGGTTAACTGCATCTATGACACATCTTAATCAATCGAGGAAATCGCGCAAGGAAATGTCAAACCACACCTCGACCCCAAATGTTGAGCGATCTCATATGCACACTCATCAGTCAACTAGGTTTATTATAGTTAACTAAAGCTAAAAAAAGTTTTTTTTTTATCAAAAGTTTAATAAACTTTAACTTAACTAAATTTTATATCAGGTAAAGTAACTAAAACAATTTTTTTTTTAAACTGAATATAGACCCATTGAGAGAGAATTTCTTTTTTTAATAAAAATAGCAAAAAACACTAACACAAAATTACTAAAACTTTGGTTGATTTTAAAGTAACGCATTGCTTATATAAATGTTTCTAATTATGTTACTTTTTATGTAAAGTAAAGTGTTACATTTTCACACCAGAACAGAAGTGCTGTGTGCACATTAATTTAAAAGCATTAAAACATTTCAGAACACCTTATCAACCGCATAGCATTGCTATCCTGATTTTTGCATGGGAAACAATACTCTCATTATCTTCAGAAGATATCAAATTCTACTGTGTACATTTCCTTCTTTTTTTTTCCTAACTAGTTTGCATGCAGTACTATGGAAACAATTTGCCTGTGCTAACTTAGGAATCAATCTCACAAATTCTTCCAATCAGGGCTGAGGAAGGTGATGGTCCGCGCTCATCGACAGGCCTGGTGTTGGCAGGATGAGTGGTACGGTCTGACCATGGAGGACATCCGACAACTGGAGCTGGAGACCCAGCTGGCTCTGCAACAGAAGATGGCACAGTACAGCTGCAACGAGGAGGGCGGCGAGAACAACGGCCCCGTCACCGGCTCCGAGAAAGAGCTCGAAGCCAAGGAGGCCAACAGCTCCACCGAAGCGGAGGGCACGACGAGGACCATGGGGGACACGCTGCAGGCGCGAGGAGAGCTGACCAAGCAGTGGTCCACCTCTTCCAGGTCCTCACGTTCCTCAAAGAGGGGCGGTAAGTTCACATCGACTTTCATGTGAAATTGACCAGAAAGGAATTACTCGAGAAGGACCTGTTCCTGGATAAACATCCTTTATCGGCCTGGAACAACTATACTTTGAGGGGAATTATTGGTTCATGTCTCACTCTCCGATGATCGGTTGCTTTTTCCCAACATGGAGTTATATTAATAAAAACGTTAAAGCTGCTCTGTTTATATACCTGTACTTTGAAAATACATGCATTTTCAAAGTACAAGTATACAAGTATATAAACAGTTTAGGTTTCCGGATGTGACACTAAAGACTGGAGTAATGATGCTAAAAATTCAGCTTTGCCATCACTGGAATAAATTCAATTTTAAAATGTATTCAAATAGAAAACAGTGCTTTTAAATTGTAATAATATTTCAAATGTACTGTTTTTTACTGTATTTTTGATCAAGAAATGCAGCCTTTGTGAGCATAATAGATGTCTTTAAAAAAAGAAAAGTAAAAACTTATCGACCTAAACTCTTGAATGGTGGTGTGTGTGTGCGCATATATATATATATGTTTATATACACTACCGTTCAAAAGTTTGGGGTCAGTGAGAATTTTATTTTTATTTTTTGGAGGAAAGAAATCAATACTTTTATTTATCAAGGAATAATTAATTTGATCGAAAGTGACAGTAAGACATTTATAATGTTACAAAAGTCTTTTGAACTTCCTATTCATCAAAGAATCCTAAAAAAAAAAAAACTGTACATCTGACAGACCAACAACTGTTTCAACATTGATAATAATAATAAATGTTTCTTGAGCATCAAATCCTCATATTATACTGATTTGTGAAGGATCATTTGACACTGAAGACACTGACACTGGTGATGCTGAAAATTCAGCTTTGATCACAGGAATAAATTACACTTTACTATATATTCACACAGAAAACAGCTGATTTACACTGGAATAATATTTAATACTATAACTGTTTTTTGTTGTATTTTTAATTAAATAAGCGCAGCCATGGTTAGCAGAAGAGAATTCTTTTAAAAGTATTTAAAATCGTACCGACCCCAAACTTTTGAACGGTAGTGTATATATGTTTATATATATATATTTCAATTACAGTAGTTGCATAATTAGTTGTTTTTTTCAGGGGATGTGTCATTATTGGAATATAGAACTAATATGATTTATTATTTGTCTTTAATGCATCATGTGCGCAGGAAGCCCTTCACGCCACAGTATTTCTGAATGGCGCATGCAGAGCATCGCCAGAGACTCGGAGGACAGCACAGACGACGAGTTCTTTGATGCACACGGTAATACAGGTTTGATCCTCGCTTTAAAAGGTGCTCTTGGCAATCTGTTATTTACTCAAATCTGAATCCTTCTTCCTCAGAGGACTTCTCTGACAACGAGGAGATCTTCACCAAGGAGATCACCAAGTGGAGCTCCAACGATCTGATGGATAAAATCGAGACCGCCGAGTCAGAGGAAGCTCAGGGTACGCGAGGGATTATCTTCGCCATCTGACACGTTTTAGGATTGCAGGGGGTGATGCAAAGCATTTTTTCCAATGCTTTGGTTTTGTAATGCATAAGCCGAGCCCACTGGAAGGAGTTTTTTCCATTTATCCGTCAAATACAGAGATTTTCACATCTTTAATAGGATTAGCTGTAAAGGAGCCCCATTGACTCTGAGGAGGTTAGGGTCTGTGTCAAACAGTGTGAGATTATGAAACACTAATTACACAGAACTCCATGCTGTTTGTGAGACGGATCTCACTGCTCGCTGGACTCACAGGCCATGGAGGGTTTTACACTTATCAAACCCATGTTCAAATCAAAGTCTAACACTAGGTTTCTTTTAATAGTATTAATAATAATAACAGATTTCTAAAATAATTATATTAATCATATACAAATATATTTAGTATTATTGATAATAATAATAAAATGATTAATTTATATAATTTAATACATATATTTCATACTATACACTAATACAATTTATTAATTAATATTAGTATGGATCTGTGTACTGTAGTAGGCATATAATGCAGTTGGTTTAGGGCTTCTTCTTTTCTTTTTTTTTTTGGTCCTGTTCAGTATCAACTTGACATGTCTAAGACGTAAACAAGCTCTTTGCTGTTGCACTGTACACGTACTGTACAATTAATTCTGAAAAGTTTTGTTCTCCTTATATCATTTGGTTATTAGGTGTCCTTTTGGAGTCTCCAAGTGTCCGTTTTTGGAAAGACAAAATTTACCTTGAAAAAAGCTTGCAGGAAATACAGTTTTGTGAGAATTATTCTTCAATCTGATAGTTTACGTATATCAAATGATGACAAAACAAACACGTTAAACACGATAAATTATATATGCTTAATTTAACACACAAGGGTGCGATTATTCATGATTAAAAATTTGAATATTTATATTTATTTATCATGGTTATATATTATTTTAATAATGTAATTTTTTGTCAATAATTTATTAGTTTATTAATATTACATTTTTTTTCTCCTTTTTCAGCAATGCAAATTAGTTTCTGAAAGAATTATGATGCATATGTGTATGTTTTTTCTTGCATTAAGCGCATTAATTTTATGTTTTAATTTTATGTCTCTAGGTGATTTGTATCAAGAACCTGGGACTGCCGGCGGGGAGCGACTCAATGAGGTATGTCTGCAATTGTGCATTTTCATTGAATGCTTTTCCATTAACATTAATGGAAATATAATACAACATAAACATTACATAATGCATTTATGCAGCAGTGGTCTTGGTGTGGTATTATTAATGCAACTGGAGCGGTGAAAGATGCATTGATCTGTACTTGTGCTAATGGAGCAAAAATTCTGCAATGGTCACACCGTGTTTATGCTGACGTAAAAAGAGGGCAGGCGGCAAAAGCATTAAATGTTCTCTGAGGGTACATTATGCAACAGCTTTTTCAGTTAGGATCAGTGCCACACTATCACTGAACAATCTGCATGACCTTTCACAAAATGATCTGCAAAGTATATGGTCATTCGGTGAAGTTCTCATGGTGTGAAGGGTTTCACGGCCAGGGAAGAGCATGATCAGGGCTTTTCTGGGATGATCTCAGTGCTCTTTAACTCTGGTCCGCAGAGACCCAGGCCCATGCGGCGCTCCACCGCCCGTAAGCGCCGCCGTACACCACGCAGACGCCCAGCTGTGAGTCGCTGCGGCAACCCATCTGTTTAGATCCATTAGAAGTGTAGATCTTGTCATAAGTTATGCAGTCAAAGGTGTTTTCCTGTGTTGTTGCAGTTATTCATAGAGATTGTGTTGTGTTTGCATTAGAGTTGAGCTGATCCTTACCCTGAATAGCACCTTATGAGCTCCGATGTTGTCTTGTGTAAAGTGGACACACGTTCTTCTTCTGAGAGCTTCTTTTACCATGGAATAATCTTCATTCATCGGGAAACAGTGATGCCCACTTTGTCTTTTTTTTTGGAAGTGTTTTTCCCATTTGTTTTGTCCTTAGTAAAAGTGTTTTCTTAAAAAAAACAGCTTAAAGGATTAGTTCACTTTTTAAAAAACTTTTGCTGATAATTTACTCACCCCCATGTCATCCAAGATGTCCATGTCTTTCTTTCTTCAGTCGAAAAGAAATTAAGGTTTTTGATGAAAACATTCCAGGATTTTTCTCCATATAATGCACTTTGCTGGGCACCAAACGGTTCAAGGTCCAAAAGACAGTTTCAGTGCAAACTGCAAACTGTTCAAAGGGCTTTAAACGATTCCAGACGATGAATAAGGGTCTTATCAAGCGAAACGATCGCTCATTTAAAAAAGAAATAACAAAGTTTAAGTTTTATAAGCTCAAATGCTCGCTTTGCTCTGTTCTGTGTGACTCTCCTGTTCGAACTCGTTCATCAAAATGAACGAATCTTTTTCAGAGTCAATTCGTTCATTTAACGAACGAAATGAACGAATTGACTCGGAAAAAGATCCGTTTGGTTCCGAGCAAAGTGCATTATATGGAGAAAAATCTTGGAATGTTTTCATCAAAAACCTTAATTTCTTTTCGACTGAAGAAACAAAGACATGGACATTTTGGATGACATGGGGGTGAGTAAATTTTCAGCAAAAGTTTTTTTAAAAGTGAACTAATCCTTTAAAAACATTTTTTTATCTAACACAATTTTTTAATCTAATCACAATTATTTGATTTAATGGCAACCAGAAACATTCATTCATTCATATACATTCATTTTAGTGAATTATATTTATAACAATACATATCATTAAGCAGTTTTGTAATGTAGTCTAGTTTCATTATTCATTAGTTTAACATTTGCATAATTCCTAACGTTTTTGGCCATTATAGTGACTGGGATATTAATATATATAATAATAATAATAATAAGAGGTTTCTAACATAATTATATTATTTAATCATATACAAATGTATTTGATATATAAAACCTTAATTGTATTATTATTATTAATGATAATAATACATGCATTTAATCATTTATTAATAAATGTATTTATCAGTATTTCAGATAGTATTAATAATTTATATTTATAAAGATCTTATTAATAATTAATTAAGTTCAATTATTTTTAATAATATTGCGAGTATATAAAAATAAAAACTGAATTGTAAAAAATAATTGAAGTTTTTTTTATTCATTTGTCTTCGTTGTCGTCTTTTTATTAGTGTAATATTATTAAGAATATTATTTAATAACAATGTAATTATTCATGTCATGCTTCCCTGTTAATAATCTGTAACTGGCATGAACAAATCAGATAATTAAACTACCACGGATACCTAATTTTTGAAATTGACATAATCAAAATTGTTTCCATGACAAAATTTCATAATCGTCAGAGCTGTAGAAAAAAGACTGTACTTATGAGTGTGAATAAGCTGCTCACCTCATTATGTTTTGCATGATTTTCCTTATCAGAATATATTTTCTATAATATATTATATATATTACATGATCTATTAGAAATCACCACTGCTATATTGTATGCTCTAACATTACAACACCTCCACATTAACTGATGTAATATAGGTTGCTAATTTTAGTTCTGGTCATCTGATAGCCACTCTTGTGACGTGGTTTCTACAGAGCATATGTCTGCGTTTGACATGGTAGGTCTGTCTTGTTGAAAGATTTCTATTATGGAGATTTTGAATGGGATTTTTGCTCCCGGAAGACTGCTGTTGCGCTCTTTACCGTGTTGTTCATTAGTAAGTCGTCCTCTTTCACAATAGCATGTTGTCTCGAGTGTGTGTGTGTGTGTGTGGATGTTTAAAACGAACCGAATGCAGCTGCAGAAACAGCTGTCCACATGTGTCCCTCAGGACGGTTCCTCACAGCAGTGTTTACAGCCGTCTAAGATCCACGTCCTCCTCCTGGTCCTGCATGGCGGGAACATCCTGGACACGGGCAGCGGAGACCAGAACAGCAAGCAGGGGGACGTCAACACCATCGGCGGCGCGTTTGATGCAGTGATGCGGGTTCATTACCCAGCTGCATTGGGCCGCATCGCCATCCGCATGGTTCCCTGTCCAGCCGTGTGTGTGGAGGCCTTCTCTCTGGTGTCAAAGTGAGTGCCAAACACACACACACACACACACACACACACTCAGAACATGACCTCTGGTAGTCATGAGGTACTGAGTAACGAACTTAAACTAGCAACAGTTCCAACTTTTCAACCTTCTAGTAGTATGACAAGTGTTGCTTAATGTTTCCAGAAAGTCCCTGCATTCATTTATTCATTCAAAAGTAATAATGTATTGATAATTTATTGATTTAAATTAATTAATTATAATATAATGTTTTTAAAATAATTATTGTATTATTATAATTTTTTTATTTTTGGTATAGATTAGAAGAATAGATGTATTTGAAAAATTTGAATTATTGCTATAATTGCTATGTTATTAAATAATAATATACGTATTATTAAATGATGATCATAATAAATCATTTTTATTTATTTTGTAGGAAGATTTTTTTGAAAATGCTGCTGTTATTGCAGTGAATAACTTCCAGCTATCATTAGTTATCAAAAGACAGTTATGTTGCATTTTTTGCAGTCTATTCAAATGAGTCAACAAAGAGATGTTACATCACTGTTGATATTGATTCATTCAGTGCACTTTTGAAAACACATTGCATTGTGGGATACAGTTCTGTTCTGTGCGCTCTGGATGTAAACTGCACATTTTGGTAAATGTATTGGTCAACATGAGTATTGCATGCATATTGCAGAAAGGCTAGTATGTTACTATGCCACTCTATGTGCTGATTCATAAAACGGCTTCTCGCTGGTAATAACCCAGCATGCTCTCTGTTCTTGTGTCCTTGACACAGTTTGAGTCCCTACAGCTATGACGAAGGCTGCCTCTCCAACAGTCAGGATCACATCCCTCTGGCCGCCCTGCCCCTATTGGCCACCTCTGCACCACAGTACCAGGACGCCGTGGCAACGGTCATAGTGCGAGCCAATCAGGTCTACGGTGACTTCATCAAATCCCTGGAGGGGGCCACTTTCACTGGCCAAGTCAGTGAATTGGTTTTTTCTCTTTGTAATTATTTACAGATTAGAGCAATGGAAAATTTGTGTGGCAGTGAAATATGCATCTAGTTTTAGTTTGTTTGCAAGTTTGTTGTGAATGTTGTTTAATATTTAAATGGACATTTATCTCACTCATTGCCCATGCACATGACTTCCTGTATGTGATGCAATGTGTGTCTGTCTGGTAATTGTGTGCAGGTGTGTCTGATTGGTGACTGTGTTGGAGGGATTCTGGGATTTGATGCTCTTTGCAGCAGCAACATCACAGTGTCAGAGAGTCAAAACAGCAGCCGGCGTGGCAGCATTGTCAGTGTGCAGGTGAACACACACATTTGCACACACACAAGGCCTGATCATCCAGACAGTGATTAATTGTGAACGTACACGTCACAATATCTCTCATTTAGGGATGAGGCCTGGTTGAGTTGCATTAGCAGTGTGTTGTTGTCATCACATGTCCAAGAGACGCAGTTCTTCCACCCTAAATCTAAATTCCCTTTTTTTTGGCCTTCCTAAGGCAAGCAAACTCAGGAAACAGTGGTTAAGATGTATTAACAGTATTCAACAGCAGTATAACCACAACCTTTTGTTGGGTTTCTTACCATTTTTTTAACTTTTTTTTTTTTTTTAACCATGCAGTTCGATGCAGGTCAGATGTTCTAAATGATTATAAATGATCTTAAATATCCTGTTTTCCATCATATGATCCCTGTAATACTAATTACTGATGCACTTCCTCCACAGGACAATGACCTGTTGTCACCAGGGATCATTATAAACAGCACTCACTGCTCGGGTTCTGGCTCGGGTTTGTCTCTGGAGGGAAGTCGGCACCTCAGCCGTAGTAATATAGACATTCCACGTTCCAGCGGTCCAGACGACCCTAAAAGACAGCTGCCCCGGAAACGCAGCGACTCCTCGACCTACGAGCTGGACACCATCAAACAGCACCAGGCCTTCCTGACCAGGTGAGCCACAGTCCTTCTTTTGTTCCTCACCCAGTTTGTTTATCATTCAAGTCAACATGTCTGTTTTATTTATCATATTTATTTGCACAATGGACTGTTTTTATAGACTGTGATGATGCGTTTCCTCAGTGAATCTAGCAAAGGTTTTTATATTTTAACATTTTTACACTTATAACACTATACTTTGTCTTATATTACCTTGGCATTAATTTACGTTGCTTTGTGAGTGTTTCTAATACAACAGCTGAGCGAGTGATGGCAATCAAGCTCTATATATTTTTCCTCTTTTGAAAAGTCATAGAAATGCTATTGTGTGGCGTTTACCCAACTATTGACAACTTCCACTTCTAATAACCCCATAAATGTGGAAAAGGGTTCCATATGCTGATGACGATATTGGTATTGGCTGATATTAGCATTTCTCTAACTTTTTGGTTATATCTGGTTATGTTTGATTAGAAGCACATGATATCCGGGATTATTTTTCAAACAATAAATGGTAGATTTTCAAATATAACAGATATTTTATAACAGGGTTCCCACAGTCATGGAAAACCTGGAAATAATCATGTTTTTCAATTGCTTTCCATTCCTGCAAAAGACATGAACAAATTTGTAATAAAAAACGAAAATATTTAATTGACTACAATTTCATCCTGTGTAGGGTAAAACTTTGTAATCAAATCAGTCTTTTCAGTCAAATATTTTAAATCAATCAGTTGAAGTGGTTCAAAAATATAATTGATTCTTTAAGCGAATTGGTCTGAATCAAAATTATATTAAAAAAAAATGTAATGTATATTAGTTATAGATATTTCCTGACTTTTCCAGACATGGCAGTGAATCCCTACTTGTGACTGTAATAATGCACAATAATAAAATTGTAAAGATGTGTATAATAATGTAAATTGTGTATATATAGTCTGCACTCCAGCGTTTTGAGGAACGATCCGGGTTCACGGCGGTCCAGCAGCAGTACCATGCTGGAGGGAGGTGGCGCTCTGGGAAAGTTTGACTTCGAAGTGTCCGACTTCTTCCTCTTCGGCTCTCCACTAGGCCTGGTCCTCGCTCTGAGGAAAACTGTGGTCCCTTCTTTGGATGGTATGTAAACCTTCGGTACAGTTTCTAGTGGAAGAAGAGTGATGAAAGAGAATGAAATCCTGATTGGATTGGATGCCAAAGCGATCGTTTAAAGTGTGACTTGATCTGATGGATTACACAGACTGTGTGATCTCTATTGTTTATGCTGTTTTTGTTCTGAAGTCCAAATCTTTTAAAACGTATTAATCCTAAAAGCAACTTAAATCAGTTGGAGCAGCAGATTACTGGAGATTGTTTTAGAGGGCTGGTGTGTCAGAGGAAGGGAACAGTATGCTGACGGGAGAATCCCGATCTAACATCTGTCATGTACAAAACAAAAACAAGGATGAATGTGTTGAACAAAATTACTGAAGGCATAACCTCCTGCACCACCAACAACAGCATTATTTTTAGCTGAAAGAAAATACTGAAGTACTCTTTCCAACACTGATAAGAATCAGAAATGTTTCTTGAGCAGCAAATCATCATATTAGAATGATTTTTGAAGGATCATGTGACACTGTAGACTGGAGTAATGATGCTGAAAATGCAGCTTTGATCATGGGAATAAATTACATTTTACAATACAATCAAATTTCAAAATATGATTTTTTTTTTTACTGTATTTTTGTTCAAATAATGTGGCCTTGGTGAGCAGAAGAGACATCAAAAACATTAAGTGATCTTATACTGACTCCAAACTGTTGAACAGTGCGCATGATTCTACTTGAACAACACTATAACAAACCAGCTGAGAATTTTTTTAAATTAATATTATACTTTTATATTAATAAATGTATATTATAACACCAACATTTGAGATCAATTTAACAAATATTTGTCTTTTCTTTTGTTCTTCCTGCAGTGGCTCATCTTCGCCCGGCTTGCCAGCAGGTTTATAACCTGTTCCACCCCGCGGATCCCTCCGCCTCTCGTCTGGAGCCACTGCTGGAGAAGCGTTTCCACCTGATGCATGCCACCGTTTAGCGTCCCCCGATACCAGCGCTTCCCACTGGGTGACGGGCAGTCAGCCCTGCTGGGTAAGACTGGAGAGATTTCTCAGTCAACACACACACCTGCTGAGACCTGGATTTATCTAGTGTTATCTCGGGTGTTCGGATCACAAGTGGTCAGGCGAGACAGATTGCTGTTTTTCACCTTTTATTGTCATGTGTCCTCTGACCACTCGTGATTGGATTTAGAGGGGATGGTCTCTTGATATTGTGACTGCATACCAGGCTTATTTATTTTTTAGAATCATTGAAATACGATTATAGGTTTCATTAATATTTAAAAATCTTATTTTTATATTTTCTGTTTTAATAACTTTTTTGCGTTTTTGTCATGTTTGTTAGTTGTTGTTTTTTATATTTCTATATAGTGTTTTAGTTTTAGTACATCAAGTTAAACTAAATGCAAATGAGAAATGTTGCCTTGAAATGTACTTGCTGAAATACGTTTTTTTTTTAAATATATTTAATTGTATTTCACTTGACGTTTAGTAATGATTTTTTCAATGGTTTTAGTTAACTATTATGTCCTTGCTGCATACATCACTCATATGTAATGTCTCACTGCATGCTGATAACAATGCAAAATGTGCCATGTGACAAAAAAAAAGAGACAAGCTCAGAGAGCCGCACACAACAGGATAATTTACATGTTTTATTGCAATTGATGATTGACAGGTGAGTCTTTTGTCCAGGATGCATCTGGACATAATTACAGCAGCGTTTACACTACAAATGCAATGCGGTCACATGCGTTTCGAGCTTTATCAGCTCAAGGTACTCGTTTACATTTGAGAAATCATGATTGTAAAGAGGGGCCTACGTGTGTTCGCATATGGTTTAGTTTAAAGCAGCACTTGTAAAAGAGCATCGTCCATCATTGCAGTTCTGGCTGGTGTTATCGTGCCTCGGTTTGTGTCATTTCTGTCTGTTATTTGTCTTTATTTTCTGTTTCTTTGTCTCTCTCCCCTCACGTCGCTCTCATGTCTCCACGTCCCTCATGCCGCTGGGTTTGACATGTGGCAGTGGAAACCATCCAGAGTAACCCTCACCTCCTGTTGGAGAGTGTGAGCTGTGCCGCCCAGCGCTTTCAGGATGGCATCAGCGAGACTTCCATTCCCGTCCCTGTGCTCAACTGGCAAGCCATGCCGGCCCCCGCCGAGTGTGTGTAGCCATTCCTGGTTTCTTGCACCCCTTTAGCGTAAACTCCCTGTTATGTGTGTCACCCCTGTGTGGCGTGTGCCCTCATTTCACATGATCTGTGTTTGTGCGTCTGCTTTGACATTGATTCTCTCATTGGGGCTTGTCGGTTTTGAGTTTTACTGACTTCCTGCCACTGGATGCTGCCATGTGGAACTGATGGTATTGAATTTAGAGGTGAAGTGTGTATTTCTTCAACGTTAAAATGCTTTTTCCTATGCTAATTTAGTGTAGACAAGTTTAAGCCATTCGTAGGTAGACTTTAAAAGTGTAATTTCACCACAAAATCAAAAGAAAAATACATTATAATTAAGCATATTTTCACCTATAATACAATAGATGCTTTACTTTTTGTTTTGTGTTTTTTGTAATTATGAATATTCTCTATGATACTATTAGATTCTTTACTGTAAGGTTAGGGTTGGTAGTATAGTGTTATAGTAAAAATGTATACTATTATAGTAGGGGTGGAACGGTACACAGAAGTCACGGTTCGGTTCATACCTCGGTTCAGACGTCACGGTTCGGTATGATTTCGGTACAATGGAGTGAAAAGCAAAACAAAAATGCAGAAGGCATTTTTATAAATGTCTTAAGCCTTGTATTTTTTAAATAAGTTTTATTAATAAAGGCATAGAACCAGTTTATTTGTAGTGCACTGACAGTAGTTTTATATAGGCTAATTAGTTTATTAATTAAATTATTAAAAAGACCTTTGAGATATGTTTGGTAATTGTACCTGAATGAATTTAAAATTAATTTGCTATTTCAGATCAATATATTTGTTTTCCTTCATTTTAATTAACCCTAACTTTATTCTCATCTGAATTATAAATAATTGATTTCCGTATAAAATAATACTACCATTAAAAACCTTTGTTAACAGGTGCAGGTTACAGTTTGACAAGAGTTTAGAGTGTGACAAAAGCACAAAGTTGTGTTTTATTGCGAGTGTACACAAATTAAAAAAGTTAACAATTTGCAGTTTTAATGATGTCCTGTATGAAAAAAATGACGGAGTATGTTTTTATGTTTCCACTGTTCATCGCCCGTGCCTCTCTCTCACACACACACACACACACACTCTGTTCGATCGCGCGATTCGCGCCCGCGCCCCTCTCTCTCTCTCTCTCTCTCTCTCTCGCGCGCGCGCGCGCACACACACACACACACACAGACACACTGTTCGATTGCGCGATTCGCGCCTCTCTCTCTCTCTCTCTCTCTCTCTCTCTCTCTCTCTCTCTCTCTCTCTCTCTCTCTCTCTCTCTCTCTCTCTCTCTCTCTCTCTCGCACACACTTCAGCATTGATCGCAGCCTGTTCATTGCTGCGTGTCACACCAAAAGCGAATAGAGCGAAATTGATCGCTATTTAAGAGTTTTTTATTTTTTATTTGTACCGTGTATTCTCCGTGCAAATTCGTGCACCGAACCGTGACGCCCGTACCGTTTCGGTTCAATACGAATACATGTACCGTTCCACCGCTATATTATAGTATAGTATTATAGTAAAAAATACTGTAGACAAATGCGTGTTTTTAAATCAGCATAATTTTAAGGCAGTACAACAAATACTAATTAATTTAGAACTTATATATATATATATATATATATATATATATAGAATGATTTCTGAAGGATCATGTGACACTGAAGACTGGAGTAAGGAAGCTGAAAATTCAGCTTTGCATCACAGAAATAAATTATATTTTAAAGTATATTAAAATAGAAAACCATTCTTTTAAATTGTAATAATATTTCACGATATTACAGTTTTTTTCTGTATTTTTTTATCAAATAAATGCAGGCTTGATGAGCAGACATTAAAAATAGAAATAGTAATGTTTCCAAACTTTTAACCGGTACTGTATATTGTTATGAAAATAATAGTCCTAAAATAGCCCTTTTGATTCTGGTGTGAAATATAACCTAGGCATGTTCTTGAAAGATTTCATGAGGTTTGCCCATAAGCGGTTCGACCTATGGGGAAACCTGTTTGGAAATCAGCACTATTTTTGCCGTTCCATTCAATGCCACTAGTACTGCAGAAATTACACACTCCACCTTTAAAACAACAATACAGCAAGAATAATAAGAAAAAATATCAATTCAAGCAGCTTGACTAATGAAAAATGCTGATTCTGATGACGGGCTTGCATGTGTATTTGGTAGATAATGCCCCATGAGGACTTCATGTAAAAACAGTCAATGCTCTCCTAAGTTCCTCAAGAAGGGAAGGAACAGATTAAAGTGGACTCAGGGGCAGTATTTACTACTTTTATATCTCTTTGGATTTGTGTTTGCATCTTCTTTTCACTTCCTTTTATCATTTTGAATCAAATGGCCCTTTTTACAAATGTATAATGATGAATCAATCAAGCTCAGATCCAAAATCGAGTGAGATCGCAACACTGCCTATGATGCTTTCTAGATCGAATGCGGTCTAGATAGGCAGCTCACTAGGTTTTGGAACTGAGGTTTAGTCTTCTGAAAATTGTCAGATTTCTGGGCCCTGATTTCTCTGTCAGTTCCTGCGAGTAATTACTGCTTTTGGTCCTCACAGCGGACGTGATGCAGTCTCACAGCATTATGTTTGGGGATCACTCCAATCCTTCGTCTCCGGGATCCATTCCAGCCTTCCGTGGGGCTCGCAGGGGCAGTGAGACCAGCATCGCCAGCCAGGTGTCAGGGTTAGCGGACAGTTACACCGCCTCCAACATCGCCAACAGTGAGTAACACATGTACACACTCGGGTTAGGTTAAATAGAATAACAAGAAAAATCGATATCAAGAAATCGTCACCAAGGCTGCATTTATTTGATCAAAATTACAGTAAAAACACTAATATTGTGAAATATTATTGCAAATTATAATAGCTTGTAGTTTCGTAATTATTCCTCAGAATTTTCAGCATTATTACTCCAGTCTTCAGTGCCACGTGATCCTTCAGAAATCATTTAATATGCTGATTTGCTGATCAAGAAACATTTCTGATTATTATTATTATCAATGTTGACAGTTGTGCTGCTTCATATTTTGGTGGAAACCATGATAAAATTTTTTTCAGGATTCTTTGATTAAGGCGAGACACGGCAGGCAAAAACATAGTTTTTTTTTCACTGGTCAATTTTGAGATTTCGGGATATTTGTCTTCAAAAACATGTCTTCTTTCAGACTTGTGGTGAAAAAAAGTCCGAAATACACATTTAGGTCTTTATTTTACTACACTTTGTCTGTTTGCGTCTGTAGATTTCTCATAAATTCATCAAAAGTTGGCGTTGTAAATCATCCGTTGCTCCGCGATCGCGATCTGCGCCCTGTCATCACACACACCGTTAGAAAGCTCTCTCTCTCTTATACAATGTTGTCGGATCCAAATATGGTCATTTCCTTTTTATCAGCAACCAATCGTGAAAGTAAAAGGGCGCAAATGCGCAATCTCATTGGCTGATGCTAAATCTTTAAAGCCCGTTTTCTCAAAATGCCTTTTCTCTCATACTCAAAGTCCGAAATCTCCGCTTCGGTAGCACCTATATACACCACACTTTCCAGTCTTGTACCTAGTTATATTATGAAGACATTTACAGAGGGATTTGTAAATATATTATTCCTAGCCCGATTTATATAACATTTTATTCCGAAAAACAAGGCAAAAATCATTTTTTTAAGGCTATTGACAGTATATTCTGATTTATAGGATAACAAAAGTAGATATCCATAAATCCCTCTGTAATTTTTTTCCCATCTAATATGTGAACACAATGAAAAAAGAATTTGGAACCTGGCTTTATCCAATACTCAGATTTAATTTTTTTTAAATATATGCAAATTAGCGCATATTTAATTAGATAATGCCTTATTTGCATATTTAAACATTAAATTACAGAAAACTTGTAATACATTTTTTTCTCATCTTAATGTAGGTAATCAACTGGGAAAGTTTCATGGTGATATCTGCTAGTTAAAATGTTTTCCCTATTCACCTGTAGTGTCTCGCCTTAATAGAAATCTTTCCTAACATTATAGAACTCTTTACTGTAACATTTGATCAATTTGGTCCTTGCTGAATAAAAGTTCTAATTTCTTTTTTAAAAAAGTCTTATTTTCCCTAAACTTTTGAACAGTAGAAAAAAAAAAAAGCCGCAATACTGCAAATATAGCTAGGAAGGAACTATCACATGTGTCATGTTCACCTTTTGACTACTGTTGTTTTGATGTTGTTTTTTCTCTAGTAACACAAGCATGCCAACTTAGACTCTCCAAAAAGCTCAGTCTTTTGTCCCAATTGGCCCTCCCCTATAATAAAATGAGCTCCCGAAGCCCCTCCCACAAATCCTGCAAAGCACAAAATAAGCGTCCGCTAGAAAGGCAGGATTCCAGCTGTTTGGATGATACAGAGCAGAGCATCTCTCTAGGCTTTGAGCCCTCACCCTCGCTCTCCTCAGACCCGCCATCACCGTGTGTCCCGCTGGACATCGAGCAAGGTACTTGGAGCGTGGGTAGACGTCCGGTCAGAGGGTCTCCTCGACCCTCCAGATGCACCCGCTCTCCTGTTTGCCTGCGTTAGTTTCTTCCATTGCTGCATTCCCTGCAATCCCTCCTACTGCCTGTTTTAGCCCTCCGAATCTTCAGCCTGTCTCCTTGCTGACCTCCCCAGCGCTGATGCCTTTGTTTTCTGAATTCATGCCCCCATCCTTTAAAAGCTCAGCGCCGGTGCTCTGGTTCTTCATCTCTGGAACCCTGAGCCGCTCTGGGTTTGCCCTGAATGATGAAGACCTTCTGAAGATGCTTTGAAATGACGCTGACTGGTCTTGCTCCCATTATCATGCTTACGACCTGTATATCTGCTGTTAGCGGTCGCTTATAGATATGGATCTGAATCAGAATTTAGTGATTACTATGATTTTTTAGTACTTTAGAGGAAGTCTCCACTATGTACTAAGCATTTTTTTTTTAAAAAGAAGTAATATATCTATATATAAAATATTTTTATTTTTAATTATGAAAAAATATTGTTTGCATAATCTGCAAATAATAATGTTATTTATGTACTATATAATTTTTTTGCCAAAATAGTTTTTATTTAAGCAAATAATGTATATATATTTGGGTGCTTTACTAAATTAATAATTATGAAATTTTTGTTTAGATCAAGGGCAGGAATTCAATATTATTATTTAGAAAGTTTAATTACAAAATATTATTTTACATTATTATTCAAATAATATAATATACGCTATTACTTGGACGTTATTTCAAGCTAGGAAGGAAAATGACTAAATATCAAATTTACATATGGATCGGGGACATGAATTGTTAAATTTGTGGTTATGCATAAATCGTTTTTTATCGCATCATTTTTCTCTGAAATTAGTGATACCAAATTATTATTACTTTAAGTACCATTTATTTCATGTCTGTTCCAAATTAGTCTTTAATTACATTTTTTTTTTTTAAACAACCGTTTGTGAATCAGACTGCACCGCTCACGCTGTATGTTTAGTTACGTGCAACCAGCAATAAAAAACACATGTTGTCTGTATACTGTCTTTATTCACCGCCCTGTCTTCCCAGTCAAAATGGAACCAGTTTTGAATAAAAACTGGTTTTCTATTCACAATCCTACTAGTAGAGAACCAGAGGCCGTTTGCAGATTCAAGAACATTAAACCCCAATGAAAAGAATTTCAATCCAAAAATAGGGTTGTGTTCTTAAATGTCTTTGCAATGGGTCATGGGAGGAAGAAGTGCACATTACAAAACAACTTTCCATTTCTGTCCTTCCTCTTGAGCCCCTGAAGCAAACCTGCATCATATGTCCTCGTCCTGTCCTAGATCCAGCATCTGAAACATTCATAAATTATGTACCGATGAAACCGAAATCTTTAATGGTATTTGAACCTGCCGTAATGGTTTGGACAGGCATGACTGAATGTCTCGTTGCTCCTGCAGTCGCTGCACGCTGGTGGGGAACCAAGCGCATCGATTTCGCCCTGTACTGTCCCGACGCTCTGACTGCGTTCCCCACCGTGGCTCTACCTCACCTGTTCCACGCCTCCTACTGGGAATCAACGGATGTGGTGTCTTTCCTGCTCAGACAGGTGAAGATTACAAAATATTGATTCTTCTTAAAGGAATTTTCAGGGTTATTTGCACCAAGAAACATGATTATATAATATATTATTAATTATTAACTTATTCATATATTTGTATTTATTTATATAAATGAAACTTGTTATAAAATTATCTTTATTCATTTAGATCTTTATTTATATCATAATTTTATAATATAAAATGTTTTCTTCCTAAAGGAATATTCAGGGTTATTTGCACCAAGAAACATGATTATATAATATATTATTAATTATTAACTTATTCATATATTTGTATTTATTTATATAAATGAAACTTGTTATAAAATGATCTTTATTCATTTAGATCTTTATTTATATCATAATTTTATAATATAAAATGTTTTCTTCCTAAAGGAATATTCAGGGTTATTTGCACCAAGAAACATGATTATATAATATATTATTAATTATTAACTTATATATTTTTTTATTTATATAAAAACTGTTATACAATTATCTTTATTAATAATAGATCATTTAGACCAAGAAACAGAATTATATTTGATATATTTTGGAATATATTAAATATTTTCTTTCTGCCTTTATTAATATATTTTAAAATATTTTATTTATTTATTTAAATAAAGATGTTATAAAATATCTGTATTCATTTATATCATATAATATATAATATATATTTTTTTTTAAATATTTTTCTTCATTTATTTAAACAAAAAACTGTTATATAAATTATGTGTATTATATTAAATTTAGCTGTTTTTGGTAACATTTTAATGTAATAAAATAAGGGATTGTTTGTTTCATATTAATTATATTTCATAAGTGTAATTTAATTAATTCCAAAAAAAATTTGTAGAATTTTGGTGATACTTCATGCTACTGTATAAAGGCAAATGACTGATTATAAAATTAACGTACAGATCGGGGGTGTGAATTGTTAATTTTGTGGTAGTGCATCAATTGCTTTTATTGCATAAATTTTATTTAAATTATAAGTCATAGCAAATTATCATTTTTTTTCAATAATATTTATTGTTTTTTTTGCTCTTAGGTAATGAGGCATGAGAACTCGAGTATTTTGGAACTAGATGGGAAGGAGGTGTCCGAATTCACTCCGTCCAAACCGCGGGAGAAGTGGATAAGGAAGAGGACACATGTGAAGATCAGGGTGAGACGGGCATCTCTAAAACCTCATGTTGACATTGAGAGCATTACAGCATTGTGGCTGACGTAAAGATGTGTTTGTGTTGAAGAATGTTACAGCAAATCACCGCGTGAATGATGCCGTGTTTAATGAGGACGGCCTTCAGGTAGTCATGGGTCGCTTCATGTACGGGCCGCTGGACATGGTCACACTGACAGGAGAGAAGGTTAGTGCCCTATAAACTTTGGTTTGTATAGATCCCGGAGACTGAAAAATCAAGTAGCCCATCTATGGCAAGCCATTTTAGCTTAAATTGTACCCAGCGTTACTCGTCATAAATGCATTTTTACTAGTAAGAATTGAATTAGAGAGCTCTACAATTCAATTCTTACTAGTAGCAATTACAATTAAAGAGCTCTCTAATTCAATTATTACTAGTAAAAATTACAATTAGAGAGCTCTACAAATGAATTTTTACTAGTCATATGTCTCCATTGACTTCCATTCATTTTTAATTACGGAGCTCTACAATTGAATTGTTACTAGTAAGAATACAGTTAGAGAGCTCTCTAATCCAATTATTACTAGTAACAATTATTATTAGAGAGCCCCGTAATCCAATTATTACCAGTAACAATTATTATTAGAGTGCTCCGTAATCCAATTATTACTAGTAACAATTATTATTAGAGAGCTCTCTAATTCAGTTGTTACTAGTAAGAATGCAATTGCAGAGCTCTTTAATTCAATTATAGAGCTCTGCAATTATACTTATCTTTATTTCGTTTTTTTACTAGTAAGAATTCAATTGTAGAGCTCCGGATGGAATGGAAGTCAAAATATGACTAGTAAAAACTAATTTGTAGAGCTCTCTAATTGGAATTGTTACTAGTAAAAATGCAATTACGACGAGTAACGCTGGGAACAATTTAAGCTAAAACGGCTTGCCATAGCCCATCCAACTTCACACACTCTCTTCAGAAAATGTACAAATCTACTTTGAAGTATTTTCCATTGGCATCTTATTCAATTTCACTTCTTCATATTCATTTCATTAAAATGTTTTTTTTGGTGCTCTTTTCAAGGTGGACATCCACATCATGACGCAGCCTCCATCCGGTGAGTGGGTGTACTTCAGCACAGAACTAACCAATAGCAGCGGCCGGATATCCTACGTGATTCCGGACAGCAAACGGCTGAGCATCGGAGTGTATCCGGTCAAAATGGTGGTCAGGTAAGTCATAAATGTACATTTGTTCTGCACATAAAAGGATGTGTTTTCAACAAGTGAACAACGTCCTCTCTGTCCAAAGGGGCGACCACACATCTGCTGACAGTTACCTGACCGTGCTGCCGCCCGGCACAGAGTTTGTCGTGTTCAGCATCGACGGCTCTTTTGCCGCTAGCGTGTCCATCATGGGCAGCGACCCTAAAGTGCGAGCAGGAGCGGTAGACGTAGTCAGGTGAGAGCATGTCTTCATTCATTTAACCCTATAAAGCCTACTGTGATACGCACATTTCTAAAGCCTCTAAATGATCAGAACTGCTGAAAAGCCTGTTGCACACAATCTACTACATGCCTTCTGTCGTCTGATTGTTAGTATAATTTAGTTAGTAAAAACGTCCACCTCCGGGTCGTGGTTGACGCGTTTTGCTGTGAAATCTTAACTGGTTTCATCAAGTAAACGCAGCAATAACTTAGATTGTAATGTAAATCAATGAGTGTTCATCTTGAAATATCACTGCCAGAAAGTGAGCTGAAATTCTAATATACTGTTAATGTAAATATCAGCAACTGCACCAAATTGCATTTTTTTTTTCTTTGTTTGGGCCTCTAAATAAAACTGAGGTGTTTTTTTTTTTCCTCCTTGAGTATGAGCTCTACGTTCTCACTATATCATACTATATTAGCCATAAAAGCCTGATATATCAAATATGATACTCAATATGCAAATGCAAATGTTATTTCATTAGGGGTGTAACGATATTTGAACCGAACCGAAAAACCGCGATACACCACCCACGATACGTATCGCGATACTCTCATGCCGAACCGAACAGGCCCCGCCCCCTGCGGCCCCGCCCAGCCCCGGCTCATTGCACCTCATGTGTTATGTGTACACAACAAATACAGGGCTGTTGCCTAACCACCATTAACCACATATAATCGCAATAAGCTCAGTGTTTTGTTACTTTTGATAATAAGCAAGGTGTAATCTTTCAAATTATGTCTATTTGATCACGAAATGCAAACAATAAATGCCGTTTTGGCGCTCTTAGATGTGGCGTGACAGATATCACTGTATGCATGCGGCAGCGCGATCATCTCTTCCTCAGTTACAGAATAAACATGAATGGACACCCGAAGGTATGTTGAAAGATACAGTATACTTACTGAAAGGCATCATAACTCGTGTAAACACTCAATCAGTGTTTCAACAGCGGAAATACGTCAATAAAACGCTTAGTTTTTCACATAGCTTTATATTTACCTCAGGCAAGTCATTCAGTGTCCACAGCTTGCTGGTTTGCTAACTTTCACTAAATAAATGCTATATATTAGCCTATATATTATATTTTACTTAACCTGTTTATGATATCTTGATTATTTAATGTATGTTTAAAATAGTTGTCATGAAAATAACAGCAACTGTGTAAATTATTATATAACAATAACAAATTAGAGTAAAAACATGTTAATGCAAAAATTGTCTTATGTGCAGTGTATATGTTTTAAAACAATTTGTTATTTGAGTGTTGATTATTATTATATCATTTAGGCTAAAAGTCTAGGCTCTGTTGTTAAGCTTTAATGTTATAGTAATGTGCAAGTAAGGGCTGTAGTTTACAGCATTAGCAGATAATTTTGTTATCCTTGAGAAACGTTTACTTGTAATTGAATTAATTTAAAGACAAGGACACAATTTGTTCATTAAAGCACTGTTTAATAAAAAATAAAAGCAATTTTAGCTTTCTAAACCCCCCCACCCCACCGAAATGAACCGAACCGAACCGAGACCTCAAAACCGTGGGGCGAACCGAACCGTCAGGTTTGTGTATCATTACACCCCTATATTTCATACTTCAAGCTTTTCAGGGTTAATGAAACTCGTAGGTCAGTAATTTGTATGGTTTGCTGTTCTTGACGGTGGTTGGTCCTCTTGCAGGCACTGGCAGGACTTAGGCTACATGATAGTGTACGTGACGGGGCGGCCAGACATGCAGAAGCAGCGTGTGGTGGCCTGGCTTTCACAGCACAACTTCCCTCACGGGATCGTGTCCTTCTGTGATGGACTCGTACACGACCCCCTCCGACACAAAGCCAACTTCCTCAAGGCTCTCATCACAGAGGTGAGAACAAACACCACGAACGCCGCCTTTTCTGTAGCGCAGGGGCTTGTGGGTAATATAGAACTAGAGGTCGACCGATTCATCGGTTTTGCCGATTAATCGGCACCGATAGTTGTTTGGTGGAACTATCGTTATCGGCAAAAATCCACACCGATAGTTTTTCCGGGTTGCGTCCGTTGCTGGAGCGGCTGAGAAGTGCGCGCGGCCATTACACAGCACGAGAGCGCTCAGAACAGAAGAGACTGCTGGCATTATACAGAGTGAGAGCTGCCTCTAGAGGACAAATAACAAACTATCACTGGCTGAGTTGTTTACGTTAACACGTGAGGCAGCGCGCAGCACGGAGAGAACACGCAGCGAGAGCGCTGACATTTAAAACACCGACAGCGAAACGGTATGAATACATAACACTAAAGTAGCTACACGTTGCCATATCATTACAAATTAATTCATTTGTTGACTAGATGCTGCATCAGCAGAGGAAGAACAGTAGTTTGCCGTCGAGGCTGTGAGGACTGTGACATTACCTCAGTCAACCGTTAATGCAATGTGACAAAAACACACGCAGACCTGACCCAAATGTTTTATGGCGCAATTGTTACCATCTATTTGCACAATTTTTATCCGGCTGGTCACTTTTATGCATTCATTAGCCGACGAAGTTGCATATTTAAAACTAGTGACGTGATTGCTTTCTCTGATATGTTCATGCAGCCGACAGAAACGTAAACTAATCAGAAACGCGTTCGATTTAAGATCTTTTTAAATCACTACAATAGATCTTGTTATTTTGATTAAATAATCATCAAGTGTTCTAAAATATAGAAGCAAATAAATTGAGAGACTATAGGCTATATTACGTATACATAATACAGGTCTTTATTACATTTTAATGGCCATCTTTAAGCACGACTCTTTGGAATCATATGAGATGGTAACACTTTACAATAACATTCCATTTTTAGCCTTAAATAAGGTTAATACAAGTTGTAGAAGAATTATTCATTGTTACGGTAGTTTGTTAATTTCAACATTTACTAATGCATTTGAGATGGAGTTTTAATTCTTATTTTATCTTTTATTACCTTAGTTAATGTACTAATGAACTAACATGATAAAGGTACAATTGTATTGCTCATATTAATACATGCAGTAAAAAGGTATATTGCATTATGCATATAGTTCATGAAAGCTAGTTCATACATCCTTGTTTACAAATGGGACTTGCAAAGTGTTACCTATGAAATGTACGTATGTTTCTAGGTTATAGCTATGAAACCTGTAATATTTTAATGTGTAAATTATTTTCTGTATAAAGTTTTAATATATTCATATTTATTTATTTAATTGAGCACATTTCAGTTCAGCACTGTTTTATTGTGAGTATGATGTTTGTTTTTAATCCAGTATCCATTAAAAAAAATATCGGTTGAATTATCGGTTATCGGCATGTACGGTCAAACCTAGATATCGGTATCGGTAAAATCCACTATCGGTCGACCTCTATATAGAACCGTCATTTGTAGAGCTCTGCAGAGACCCTGTGTTAGCCTTTGCTTCAATTATGTGAAATGCTGCTCTTTTGTAGGCACATATGAAGATCTTCGCTGCTTATGGCTCCACCAAGGACATCTCCGTGTACTCGTCACTTGGTCTGCCGCCATCACAAATCTACATTGTGGGGAGACCAACAAAGAAATTACAATACCAGTGTCAGGTATCTTTACGCACAGTTTTTCCTCTCTACTTTTTCCTCACGAGTTTTCCTCTCACTGAGCCGTCACTCTCTCTCCACAGTTCATCGCCGATGGCTACGCGACTCATCTTTCCCAGCTGGAGTACAATCAGAGATCGAGACCCGCCAAGACCGGCAGCGCTCGCATGGTCCTCCGGAAAGGCAGTTTCGGGCTGGGCGGCAGTGGCGACTTCTTGCGGAAGCGCAATCACCTGCTGCGCACCATCTCCTCGCAACCCACGTCCTCCACACCGCCCGTGCCGGTAGGCCGACCCGAACGTGCGCAGAGCCAATCAGAATGTGACCGCGAGCGGGCCGAACGTGCACAGAGAAGCATGAGCATCGCTACCGGCTGCTGGGGCCGAACCAGCAAACTTGAGGGCGGAGCCCTGAGCCCGAAATAGGCTCCTCCCACCGGGTCCAAATTCCGGAGGCACTTCATTGGGCACATGGGCTGCAGGAACACGACGTAACCTCACAGTATTACAACAGACTCTGTGAGCGAATCTCACGGCATTACTATTGTTGCATGAGAATGTTTTCCGTTTCATTTTATTACATTTTTTTTTAGACCGGCAGCCAAACATTTTCCAGAAATCTAGCGCCTTAAGCATCGCTCTGGGTCATGGCCCTCGCCTCTGACTTGATTGAATGTACTGTTGGGACTGAAAACATGGATCGTTTGGGTGGGTATGGATGGACTCTTCCCGCTTCCTCTATCATTCCCCAGACTTCCCTTCCGGTGTCTGCAGAGATTCCCACACATGTAAATACGTGCCTCCTCTTACCTGCTCAGGGCAGCCATGAACTTGAGGAGCTGATGAGACCCAGAGGCCATTTTACTCATTTGTTTCCGTTGGGTCGCCCCATCCCGAGTCGAATCGCAGCAGCATTTGGCAATAAGGATCGAAGCCCATCGCACCGAACTCCGTCTGCAGGTCATCAGAGGCCTTTACTTCTTATTCAGAGCAAGAACGCACTCTCAAAGGAAGAACAATCCCTTTACAAGGCCATCTGCTTGCAATACCTCCAAGACGCCACCTCGACCTGGGCTGCTGGGTCACCTTCCATGTTTCTTTCTTTCTCGACTGCTGTTTTGTTAACTTCTGAGCCACCAAACACCGGTCGCAAGCACACGCCACATCTGCTGAAGTAAAAACGTTCCTGCTGCTGTCGTTGTCGTGGAGAGAGTTTCCCATCGAGGACGCACGCGACCATGCAGCTCGCTGGATTTGCATGTTTTCAATGACAACTTTTAAAAGATTTCGCTCAATCCTTTGCACTCATTTCCAGCTGATCGGGGAGCGATTGGACTCGCTCGCTTGATACTGCCGACGGCCAAAACGAATTCAAATTCGAAAGCTGTAGTTCTGCAACTGCATAACCTCATTGTTATTTTGCACTAGTGGAATTAGTGGAGGCCCTCGTTTCCATCTCATGTGGCTACATGACGACATTCGCGTGTAGTACATGTCCCTTATTATTTATGGCAGGGTATCTGTGCGCACATGCACGATTATATAGTTCTCCGGAAACAAGAGCACGCAAGAAATGTGCCAAAAGCAGGCAGATCATAGGAACCCGAACGCGTCCAACGTTACCGATGGATTGTAGCAACGCTTCCCCAAGCGTTTCCGTGGCACACGTATAATGTTTTTAAGGTTTTAGATCATTTTAGATCAACTTCAGTTATCTATGATATTGTCCATATGTTCATATGTAAGTGATTGAGGTATATAGAAATTGTGCTTTTAATTTTCTTGCTATTTTAAATCGGACAGCATGACAAAGTCGGGTCGAGTCGTGAACCATACACGGTTTGTTTCTATATATCATGTCATGAACACACTGGAATAGCCATGCTGCATGTTGCGGACGTATTCTTCTAACGGATCTGGGAGGCTTTTGGAACGTGGCCTTTGTCTGAACCGAGGTCTGAATGGGACTTCAAACAGTGTAGATACTGTAAAGATGTAAATTTCACTATAATAGGATATGTTACGGTCAGAATTTATTTATTTCTGTAGCTTCATAAGATGATGGATATTTCAGGTTTGACTGTACGTGTTTTGCTTTATTCTTTTGTCCGACACTTCTGAAATGCGGACCAATGACATGTCTCCTTGTGCATAATCGTCGACAGTGTTTCCGTAGCAAAACTCTAGATGACGCGTAACCACCGCCACCCCACGGACAATCAGTTCAGCAAACAAACGGGCAAGGAGCGCGCACACCTGCACACGCGTTGAAATTTCCACGTAATGTGAATTGGAATTGTGAATGTGGTTCTGTGATCAATTTGCTGCAAAACAACCGAGTTTAAATTGGTGCTGAACGCTTTTTGAATCAAAGTTTTTGCTCTGAGATGGCATTTGGACTGGTATTACTAGTCTTTTAATGCATCTAGTTCAGTACCAGACATCAGGGGTTCTCAGTGGAAATAAATATGCTGAAAGGTTTGTGAACTTCTACCACTGATATCTAGGTCATCTTGGTTGTTGGTGGTTATTATGACCACTGAACAAATTCTCCGTTCACACACTCTTGCCATCTGAACTGACTGAACTGAACCTCCTGGTTTCAAATCAAGCCTATTTTTCAGCAACGTTAAGAAAGTTTCATTTCCGAATTGTTGGGATTAAGATTCAGACGCATCGCAGGGAATCATACGACGTTGTGATCGACAATTGTGCCACGGCAAACATTAGTTTAAACATCCGCGGCCTTGCTTGTAGGCCAAGTATTATATCTTCAGATAAACCAGATTATAGCCACTTTTGTACTTTGCATGTCACAGAGAAGCTTTCGTACACTTTCCTGTATTCTTCAATAATGGGCCACACTACAAACCTCCAGTTTATAGTTATTACAAATATGCTGTTGTCTATATAGAACATATCAGTTGTTAATACCAAATATTTCAATGATATTACCGTTAATCCTAAATCCAACCATATTTTTTAAGAAATACTGACATCCGAGTAACGGCATAGAAGTACTTTGAAATAAATTGACATTACAGTATTTTTGACATGTCTAAATTAGTGTGCAGGTGTTTCAAAACACAAGCTCGTTGGATGAAATAAATATGGTGAAATATCCCAAAACAGTGCCCATTTTATTTGTTGCCAAAACTTTCAGATAATCATTGCAAATGAATCACTTTCCCAACAACTTTTCAACGATGAATGGAGACGTACTGCAGGTTCATTTTACACTCCTGTTGACGTGCTGATCTGGACTGACTCGCTCCTTTACAGTTTTCTTACCAGGTCGGTGGTTCATGTGTATAACTGTATGTACTGTGGATTAAATACAGTTGGACAACTGCAAGTCTTCTGTGATTTATAATGCTTTATGAATGTGTGACATGAACCACTCTGCAAGAATATTATTTTTTATGTACTTTCCTTGTCTTTAGTCACAATTTTTCTATATTCATTAATTGTATTGGTTTTGGAGTGTGAGAGAGGGCAGTATGGTCTGAGTTAATTTGGGTGAAATTAATTTATGTATGTATGGTAGGTAGAGATGGATGGATGTAGGAATGGAAGCATGTATGCATATAGATAGATGGGTAGAAAGGTAGAGATGTACTGTATGTAGGAAGGAAGATAGGTATGTATGGATGGATGTAGAGATGTAGAAAGGTAGGTAGGAATGGATGTATGTAATATAGATGTGTAAATGGTAGTTATAGATGTGTGTAGGTATGTATAGATGTATGTAGGAAGGGATGCTGTACTGATTGTATAGATCTATATAGTTTGATAGAATGGTAGGTATGGATGGATTGGTGTATGAAGGACAAGGAAGATATTGATGGCTGTATAGATGTATGTGGGTAGGGTAGATGTGGATGTATAGGTATGCTTGTCTGTATTTATATAGGTATGTTTGTGTGTAGGTATGTACTGTATATTTGTATGAAACTCAGAAGCAAAGACCAGGAGACTGGCGTATCTTCAGGAGTCTTTATTGAAAGTGTGCCGTTTGGTCATTCAGTCTGAAGAAGGCAGGCATACACTGCATTTGATAGGCATTCAGTGTTGACCTTACACACATCTACAGGAGAGACAACTTAACCAAAGTATCTGAAGATAATACAGGAAATGACCCGTCTGTGAGCGCGTACCTCCAAACAGATGAAGCAGCACCTGGTCACAAGAACTAGAAATACAAACCTTAAACTGATGCCATCATGTTCCCCTTCAATGCCTGATACTATGTGGTTCACCTTTGTTTTTTATGTGTTGTTTTTTCAAGACAGGATCATCTGCACATCTCGACAGGTGTGGTGACATCATCAGATCCTCGAAATCACTGATCAAGTGGGATCCTTTTGGGGTCAATTCAAAAATCAAAATCAATTTTTAACTAAAAAACTGCTGGCAGGGAAAGAAATAAAGAGATTCTTAAGTTTGAAGTCACTCACCGAAACTCAACTTTGTATCCAAATATGTTCCCAGATATTTCAACAATCCCAACAGCCTGACCATTTAACTTTAATTTCCCTAACATGTGGTATTCACTAGAATCAGTTATTTAGTTCTCCTTGCATTAATCTGCAAAGCACTCAAATGATGTGTAGTGAACAATGATATGCCAGAAATCTGTCGTCATCTGATGGATCTTTATTTTAGCAATGCAATACATTGAAACACTGAGTCCAGATACAGATCCAGATTCCCCTTAACACAAACAACAGTTAAAAAAGGAGACGGGAACAAAATCATCAAAAGCATTGATGGGGAACACTGATGCTTATTAGCATAGCATTATTAAAAAATGAGACAGTAGCCTGAATTTTATGACTACTTTCACATATTTCTTAAAATGTAAACAAAACACTGTGGTAACAAAATCCCTCTTCATAATAATATCAGAAAAGTCTATCACGTGACCTTCTCTGGACTGTTTATCTGAGCTGAATTAGCTAATACATGTATAGTTGCTCATCTAGACATTTTTCACTGAAAAGGTTTGGTGCAATAAGGCCTGCATTTGTTTTTTGTTACAGTAAAGGTTCTTACTGGCCATCAAAAAAAAAAAAAAAAACAGTCTCGCTGCTAGACAGGTTTTATTAAATCAGTCAGTTCCTGTAGGTCTCAATAGAGATCATCCATATTGCAGTCATGCAACTTCTACTGTAACTAGGGATGCACAATATATCAATATCGGCCAATATATTATTGTACAATTATCAATTTTACTGCACAGTATTCAATCTTTCCCACGTGTATATGCCTAATTTCAGGCATTTATTTAAATAAATGTTCATGCTTGTGTTTCATAACTGACAGCCAGTGTGCTTTCATTTATAAAACATGACATGTTGGTTAGCAGCCGTAAAAAGAATTGGTCACATTTTCTATATCAGTGCATCCCTAATCTCAAGACCATTTTCTCTTTTCCACTGGGACGGCATAATTGTATTTCATTAACTGGCCAACTGATATGTAAGTAGCAGGTATATATACAGTACATCTGAAAAGCATGAATGACTCAGTGAAATATTTACAGGCTTGACACAGATGCAGAGCTGGTTTGTTCATGCATTAGCTCAGAGAATCTCACATACACCCTCTCATGGCCTTAAACTCTACCATCATTCATTTTAGTAAGAACCGAAATGATTTCTAGAATTAAAATGTGCTTTTCTGAGAAGAAAACGGTCACGTCACGTACAGGTTACAGATGTTTGAGACGTTGCTGAGACGAGAGCTACAGCGCTCGAGGACGTTTGGGGTTTATCTGCTTACTGGCCTGTTCCTCCTCTTGAAGAGCAGAGCGGAAAGACTTCACTTTATCTGAGACCAAAGGAAACACAACTTACTGTCTGTGACTTAGGTTGACAAAGCATTTCATCTGACATGAAGGAAAACAGCTTAGTAAGGGACACTAGAGTAATGTGTGGTGTAACCTGGGAGTCAATCGCTGACAAAACATAACAAAAAAAAAGTGCAGCTCAATGTCAGCCCAAAGTCAACAGAAACTGTACGATACGATATATAAAATATTCCTATGAATATTTATTATTAAACCTTTTACATTAGTGCAAAAATATGCATATAAACAATATATATAAAAAAAAAAAAAAAATGTAAATGTAAAAGAGTGATATGTCATATACAATATAAAGTGATATGGTTATAAATAATTTGATGAATTAATATAAATCATAAAGAATAAAAATTTTAATGTTTATAAATATATATATATATAGAGAGAGAGAGAGACCATAATTTTTTTTTGCATTTTGACATAACTTCTTATATTTTAATTTTTTTAATTAAAATAGACAATTTTTAATGTCAGCATGGTTTTCAATGTTTTATAATAAAGATTATTAAGATATTTTTTGGGAGAAAATGTTATATTTAAAATTATATATATATATATATATATATATATATATATATATAGAGAGAGAGAGAGAGAGAGAGAGAGAGAGATGGAGAATTAATTTAATTTACATTATAGCAATGACATTATATACAGTGGGGGAAATAAGTATTTGACCCCTTGCTGATTTTGCAGGTTTGCCCACTTACAAAGAATGCAACGATCTATAATTTTAATCATATGTACATTCTAACAGTGAAAGACAGAATCCCAAAGAAAATTCCAGAAAATCACATCATATGAATTTATTTAAATTGATAACCATCTGATGAGGAAAAACAAGTATTTGACCCCCTGGACAAACAGCATGTAAATATTTTGTAGAAAAGCCCTTATTGGCCAGCACAGATGTCAAACGCTTTTTATAGTTGGTGACAAGGTTTGTGCACATTTCGGCAGGGATGTTGGCCCACTCCTCCCTGCAGACAGCCTCCAAATCTTTCAGGTTCCGAGGTTGTCGCCTGGCAACTCGAATTTTAAGCTCCCTCCAAAGATTTTCAATTGGATTCAGGTCTGGAGACTGGCTAGGCCACTCCAGAACCTTGATGTGCTTCTTCTTCAGCCACTCTTTTGTTGCTTTGGCGGTGTGCTTAGGGTCGTTGTCGTGCTGAAACACCCATCCTCGACCCATCTTCAGCTCTCTCACTGAGGGAAGGAGATGTTGGTCCAGAATTCCACGATACATGGCCCCGTCCATCCTCCCCTCAATAGTTGTCCCGTCCCCTTGGCTGAAAAGCACCCCCAAAGCATGATGTTGCCACCACCATGCTTGACGGTGGGGATGGTGTTCTTTGGGTTGTACTCGGTGTTCTTTGCCCTCCAAACACGACGAGTTGAGGCCAAAAAGTTCTATTTTGGTCTCATCTGACCACATCACCTTCTTCCAGGCCTCTTCTGAGTCGTCCAGGTGGTGAATGGCGAACTTCATGCGGGCCTGTACATGTTTCTTCTTGAGCAGGGGGACCTTGCGTGCGCTGCAGGATTTCAATCCATGACGGCGTAGTGTGTTACCAACCGTTTCTTTTGTAACTGTGGTCCCAGCTGCCTTCAGTTGATTCATCAGTTCCCCCCTTGTGGTTTTGGGATGATTCCTCACCGTTCGCATGATCAGGGACACCCCACGAGGCGAGATCTTGTGTGGAGGCCCAGACCGAGGGAGGTTGGCGGTGGTGTGGTGCTTCTTCCATTTCCTGATAACTGCACCGACAGTTGATCTTTTCTCTCCAAGTTGCTTTCCGATTCTCTTGTAGCCCATCCCAGCCTTATGCAGATCAACAATCTTGTCCCTGATGTCCGTAGAAAGCTCTTTGGTCTTGCCCATGGTGGTGATGTTGGATGCTGGTTGTTTGGGTGTTGACAGGTGTCTTTTATACAGGTAACGAGGTGAGGCAGGTGTATTTGATGTAGATAATTGGTTGGGATTGGGGCTGTGTCTTAAAGAAAGACTAACTGGCTTGTAGGAGCCAGAATACTTGCTGTTTGGTAGGGGGTCATATACTTGTTTTTCCTCATCAGATGGTTATCAATTTTTATAAATTCATATGATGCGATTTTCTGGAATTTTCTTTGGGATTCTGTCTTTCACTGTTAGAATGTACATATGATTAAAATTATAGATCGTTGCATTCTTTGTAAGTGGGCAAACCTGCAAAATCAGCAAGGGGTCAAATACTAATTTCCCCCACTGTATTAGGAGAAAATGTTAATTCATTTTCATACAAAATCCCAATGCAAAATAAGTGTATGCTTCAAAAATAAACTTCATTTCATTTATTCTTTTGATTTAGTGTACTTTAATTTGTGTAATATGGATCCTCCTATCATTGCAGTATAAATGCGGGTCTGGAGGACGCCTCTGTAACCACTGACCTCTGAGCTCTATTAACACGTCAATCTTCTGATCCAGAATCTGTTCGAGCTGAGTGGCGAAGGACTCCACATCATAATCGACTTCCTCCGTCATCTCCAGAAGAACCTTCTCATCCTCGAGCCAGCGTATGGACTCCTACAACACACAACACCAGCTCCTGAAGCAGCCCTCACAAATACATCAGGCCTTGAGGAAAAATATCTCCAGAACACCAAAAAACATGTCAAACCGAAAATTAATCAGACACCAGATATCATTTTACTATTTTAATTTGACTAGTGGGTGCAGGACACTACAGTTCATTTATGTAAGTAAGGATAGCAAAATAAAGTCAACTATAACATTATACCCAATTTTATTTAATTGCTAATGCGACCTTTTTACACCACAGACTGAACTAAATTAAGCATTGCTTTGTAATTGGTATGATCTAATTGTGTAGTTAAATTTAACAGCTTACAGATATTCAACATAACTCATGTGTGAGAGTCTAACAGAAGGACGGACAAAACCAGTGAAATATCAACTGAGTTCTTGTCATATTTTATGACCCTTTTCTAAACTATAGTGAATAAACTGTGATAATGTGTTGAAGGTGTCTGAATAAATTTTGGTTTGACTATATATACACATATATACACACTACTGAAGTGAAGACACTGAAGACTGGAGTGATGACGCTGAAAATTCAGCATTGCATCACAGGAATAAATAACATTTTAAAATATATTCAGATAGAAATGTTATTTTTAGGGGTGTAACAATATATCGTGTCACAATATATCGCAATGCAAAAATGCAACAATATGTATCGTGGATAGTCCCCCCCCCCACCCCCCAAAAAAATGACTGTGAGAAAAAATTCAGGTTTTCAGAGTTTTAGTGTAAGTACTACATTAAACTACTATATATAATGTTGATTATAATGTATAATAATGCAATGTGGGAATATTTGTGGGTCCTGATTATGCCAAATATCTGATGGCCGACATTATTTTAAATATATCTAGTCAGTGAAAGAGTGCAAGCATATTCGTCTAAAATAATTCTGTATTTTCAGCTTCAGAATCATGAATATTTTTATTCTGGTGTCTCCATTGTCCTTGGGTAACAAGCACCAAGTCCAAGCCTATTCATTTAAACCCACAATGTAATATAAAATTTTGCATTTTAATCAACAGTACATTTTTTGTTAACCTTTTATCATATGTCTTGGAGTATCGCAATAATATCGTATCGTGATATGTATCGAATCGTGACATGAGGGTATCGTTACACCCCTAGTTATTTTACCTACCTGTTATTTTAAACTATAATAATGTCACAATATTCCTGGTTTTACTCTATTTTAAATAAAATAAATGCAGCTTTGGTGAGCAGAAGATCTGAACGGTACTGTATATTCAGAGATATTTTCTCTGAAAACGAGCATTAATTGAGCATTTAGTGCTTTTCTCAGAGGTAAATACCTTAATTGAAAGAGATTTAGACGTTTTAAGTGAGTTTTTTTTTTTTGCAGTGTAAAAACGTCTGTCCTGTGTGCGCACCTGAAACACGGCGCGGTGGTCCTCCAGAACCTGCTCCTCCATCTCCACCAGCTGAGACACCACCTCGTGGAAGGTGAAGAGCTGAGGGGACACCTCCTCTTCCTGTGCACAGCACGCATCACATCAACACACGTCACGCTCTCATGCACACCGACCGGGCTGAAGTGTGTGGTGGAGCGCTCTTACGTTCTGTTCGCAGAGCAGCTTGAGGTCGTCTCTCTGAGGAGAGCTGCCCACCCCCCACTGCGCCTCCAGCACGTCCAGCTGGCCGACGGAGCGGCCCTCCAGCACTGCACTGGGGTCGATGCTCAGCTCCTTCACCCTACCGTCACAGACAGCGGCTCAACTCAACACAATCAGCATATCGGCGGTGTCGGCCGGAAACCTCACATCTCCATGTTTTGACGTTTTTCATTTTTCTCATGAATCATTGCTATTGGTCAGCTTTTACATCAGTCTATGGGTTTTGCAAATACTTAACCAACGAAAACATTAGAAAGAGCTTGTGATTAAACCTCACAACTCCATGGTTAATCGAGTGCCGCACACAGTTTGGAGCGTCTCTGCTTGTTTGCAATGCAATGGTAAATAAAGAACTGGTTATTTGAGTAAGTGCAGAGTTTTCTTTACACAAGAAACACTGAATATATATAGGCTAATGTTTTATGTATTTAAGGAGTGGAGAAGAGTGTCTTAGTCTAGCATTTGTCATAGTCATCATAGCCAGTACTGTCTTAAAAAATCTGTGTGTAGCACTTCATCACTAATAACATGAGATTTTGGCCAAATGACAGAAAGAAAAACGAGCGGCCACACAGCTACTGTAAACTTTATAACCTGTAAGTTGATGAACTTCATGCTATGCATTTACTGTCTCAGATACAGCTGTTCTGATGACGGACAAACACACATCTGACATTCTCTGGCCTTTGAGCTTGATTTTGGCAAAAAGTTAAAAATATACTGACACATGCACGTGTCTGATCATATATGGAAAAGTAGTGGTTTTGGTAATATGAGGTTTCCGCCCGACAGCGACGATATGAAAGCATGAGGTATTCACATCATAATGCAATAAACCAATGGAAATGGTTTATGTTACAGACACATGATCATGCAGCATGATAATGATGGACTCCATCCGCTCTATAAGGCATAAGCAAACACAAACCAATGTTAGTGCAGCTGCAATGAAAAAACATTCAAAACGCAACAGAAAATGCTGAAACATGCCTGAAATGTGGTACAAATGGACTCAAAAAACAAAGGACAAAATAAGAGCAGACCAAAAGGGAAAGACGCACATGTAGACGCTGAACTGAAAGTGAAGCGACCGTTAGAAACACAGGACTCTTATGGACGCTCTGTCTGGAAAGAGACAGGCTTGAGACTGGAAAAGGGTGAGACCTGCTGGGTGAGGTAGCAAAGTCATCGTACTCATAGGTAGGAGAGAGTTCGGAGCGCCCGCCCCCCCCCTGGGAGAAGGGAATGTCGGATGGGCTGATCCCAAACTCCTTCACTCTGAAGACGGGATGACAGACGGCAGTGAGACAGAGAGACGGGAATTACACAAACATTCAGTGGGAAAGAGTTCTCCGTGAAATACACTCTAGCAGTGAATGCCACTGCTTAATCATTTTAAAAATGTACAAATTATTGTTTTATATTAAATCATTTTAATAACATGAATATAATATAAAAACATGTATTGTTAGAATTCATATATATATATATATATATATATATATATATATATATATATACAATATATTATGATAAAAATATATAGAATTTTACAAACATTAACAAATAAAATAAAAATAATTTGAATATTATGTTTATTAATACATATTTAATATAATAAATACAATGTTTCTTTAAGTCATTATATAAGTATTCTATTGTTTTTACAACATTACAATTAAACTAAATTATATTTATGAATTCTTATGAACAAATATGTATAAATATAGTGGCATTGGTTAATAGTTGTCTACCAAACATTAAACACAAAAATATGCCATGTAAAAAGATAATGATTAATATATTTGATTATGAATATTTTTTTATAAATAGTTTTGTTTCATATAAAGAATTTGAATAATATGAACATAATATACATTTATGAATATGTACATAAACATTTTATAGAATGTATTATATATATATATATAATTTAATGTTAAATGTTTTTACACATTACATTTCTTTAAACCCTTGAATTCCATTTTTATATTCTTGTTAAATATATGCATATAAACAATATAAATTATAAAAATAAAAAGAGTATATAAATGCATATTATAATTTTTTTATATATAAATAAAATAAAGAAATTGATGTAATGAAATTGATATAATGTGTATTAATACATGTATAATATACTGTTTTTAATATACATGTATTAATAAACATCATATTAATATTAAAATTCTTGTATATATAAAGACATAAAGGGTCAAATATGTGATTTTTCCATGAGCAGCCCCAGATTTGACTGTCAGGTGACTTGAATAAACAGGGTTCAGCAACACTGATCTGGTTGCTCGACACAGTGAAGGGTTGTGTGTGTGTCACTGCAGTGGTGTGTCTCACGTACCTGTTAGCGTATCTCAGAGTGTTTAATGTGTTTTCACATGATGCCATTCCAGGAGAGATTGTAGCGATCTATTGCAACCACAAAAATGTTTAAATCATTAATACACAAATGACACTACATGTTAAAAATGAATATATGATTGATATAGAGACCGTGTTCTTACCATACATGTTCTGGAGTTCTCTCCGATGAAGGAATCTCTTAAGACCTGTGTGAGTTTACTGGCTCTAAACGGAGTGTGTGGTTTGTTTCGACCTAAAGCCCTGATGCATTCCTGTCACACACAAACAGAAGTGGACCAGGATACCACCATGACACTAATGAACGTATAACTTATAATAAAAAAATAACACAGTCTACTTTCAAGAACAAATCAAATCCACATGCATATCATTATTTCCTGCTGAAGTTTTATTTAGAAAGGTCACATTACAGAAGTTCTGAATTACATTTGATATTTTTATAAATAAAAAAATAATATTATATATTTTTATATTTGCTACTTTGTGCAGTGTGAGACTTAACAAATTATATTTTTATAAAAATATATTTCTATATTTGCTACTTTGTAGCAGAGACTGAACAAATTGCATTCATCCTATTTCTAACATTTTTAATATGTGTTACATTTACATATAAATATTTCTATATTTGTTACTTTTTGTACAGTATACCACTGAACAAATTATATATTTTTATATATTGTATATATTTTTTATACATTTTAATATTTGTTTTTTTTATAAAAACATTTCTACATTTGTTACTCTAGCTATACAGTGTGGGACTTAACAAATTCAATTTTTCTAACATTTCTAATATATATTTTCATAAAATATTTTTATAAGTGTCAGTACAAATTATATTTTTCATATTTATATTTTCTAGCTATTTTTTTATATTTTCATCAAAATATTTCTATATTTGTTACTTTATACAGTGCTAGAATGAACAAATAAAACATTTTGTATTTCTAATATTTTTAATGTTTTTAAATATTTCATAAAATATTTGTATATTCGTTTCTTAGTACAGTGCGAGACTAAACAAATTTTCTCTCTCTCATCTTTGCTTTCGTAAATATCTTTTTAGGGACAAAACAAGGTGAAATCAAGTAGTTCTGGACCCCGTGTGTGACGCCTTGAAGCACAAACCTTCAGCGCCAGGAGACTTTTGTTGATCTCTGCGCCCTCGAGACGGGTCTGTCGGTCAGCGCTCGACGTGTCCGCCCCTCGCTCGTTCCCCGCCAGGTCGATGAGAGAGAATTTGCCGTGCATTTTGCCCCTCCTGCGGAGAATAATCTGAAACACGGCGTGACTGCGGGACGAATGAGCGTTAGCCGAGGTCTGTCCAGACGTCCTGAGGAAAACCACATACAAAAATGACTACAACTGTGTTAACAACACCACCGGTGGAAAGAAGCTATCCGATTGGTCGCACCTGCAGCTGTTGCCCATCTCAATGAGTTTGAGCACGTCCTCGGTGCACTTGACCTCTCGCTCCTGCAGGCCGACCACCTGAACCTGCTGCTTCCCGTCTTCAAGCACACGCAGCTTCGCCTTCCTGTTCAGAAGGTCAAACACCTGCACGGCCGGTTCAAATTGACTTAATGCACTTTATGAATATTAAATGAGCTCATTCATTATTCATGAGGACTAGAGAACTTGCCTTCCCGCTGTAGATTTCAAAGAACGTCGCGTACACCTGAAGATCCAACTTCTTGTAATTTGGCTTTTTTAACATTAGAAAAACATCCCGTGCTGAAAGAATAGAAAATATTGATAACTCAATATTGACATTGAATAACATCAGGTCTGACACATACCAGCGAGTGCGTAGATCCCTTTAGAGCAGTCCTGGTTCTTCCCAGAAAAATCTCCTCCCATGGTCTGGAATGAAGGGAAAATCGATTGTGACAAATGGCAAATGGAACGATCCCCTGGGAGGATCTTTGCCTGTAATATGATGTCATCTGGTTTTGTTTACGGGCAGAACTTACATGAGTTTTCCCACTGCCCGTCTGACCGTAAGCAAAACAGGTCGCCATTCCCCTCTCAAATATGGTCTCCACCAGCGGCCGGGCGGTAAACCTGAAACACATGAACCAGAGATCTCATTCAATATTAGAACATGATTTTTTTTTTATCTAAATGGCTGAGATTTGATTGAGAACATGGCCACAGGAACTATGTTTGGCTGCAGCACGCCCTGCAGTTTCACTGCATTGGATTTAAGATGACACGACGTCAAATAAAGTTTTGTTTTTCAACATGTTTATAATTTTCCACCTTTATCTATAAAATCACTTTAAAGGTTTTTTTTTGTATTATTTTATAATGTTTCCTGGGTTACCCTTATAATGTTAGTATGTTTTTTAGATAAAAAATAATCATAATTTAGAAATAAATGGCATTTTTCCTAGCCTGCTTTTAGCCTCTGATTTGAACACTCTGTTTGAAGGGGCGTGTCTGCTGTGGGATTCAGTGTAACCGCGGCCACTGCTGTGATTGGCTGACATGCTTGCATATGAAATAGCAACGCATTACATGTGAAACTCTCTCCCGAATTCACCAATGCAAACACGATGATGTAAATACAGTAAGAGCTTCGTTGTGCAGTAACGTGCGTCATTGATTTCATAACGAGTTCGGCAAGTGTCCAGATAAACTCGCGCTGTGTGGAAAGATTGTTCTTTGATCGCTTTCTGTATATAATTTGTTCACAATTTAAATACGATTATTTTCATCCTACTAAAAGAAACGATGTGAAGCTGATATTTTAGTCACTGGCTTGACTTACTGATGCATAAACAGTATTGAACGATTTTGAGAGAAAGATTACCTGTCTGAACTTGAACAATTACTCATCAGAAAGTGTTGCTTGGTAGCTCGATCCGAGGCCAGCTCTGTATTGGCCCAAGTTGATTAAACAGTCGGTGAAATGTTTGAAAATTTCCAGAGAAAATAAAATTAACCCATTGTTTCTTCAGAGGCTCAGATGAAGGAACTAAAAACTACTTTTGTGTTCATGTGTACATCCACACTGAGCAACTGCCATGCTTCGGCTGCGCAGTTCCGCCTGGCATCGAGGGCTGGCATTATGCAAATATTTGGAGGCGTACATATTAATGATCCCGACTATTGCGTCACAGTCGGTATTGTGTGGAGAACCGACCGTTTTTCAGGGGTGTTTTTCATAAACGTGAATTAAATGAGAACGCGAAAACAGTCCAGTTTGAGATTCACTCTATGTCATGTCCATGCACTGAACTCTTGTTATTTGACTATACCAAGGTAAATTCAATTTTGAATTATAGGTCACCTTTAAAGATTATTTCGATTTTATAGGTTGTCGAATGTGGTTTGTGACTTCTGGATCAGAGTGCTTTTGGCCATTGGTTCAGAGCGTTGTCAAAACCTGCCTGAATTTATTTATGTATATTTGTACAGTGCAAAACTGAAATTTTATTTTTTATTTTTGTTTTTTTAATATATACTGTATACTTATACACATATATTTTAATATATATATACTTAAACACTTACATACGCTTTAATATTTTATTTTATATATACATTTTACTAGATATTTCTATTGTTACATTGTACAGTGCTAGACTGAACAAATTATATTTTTATATATTTTATATATGTCATTCATTGTTGATTTGTTTGGGTACAACATATACACAAATGTATACATGTGTGTATTTGTATTTGTTTTGTTCCTTGTGATGATCGTGTTTGTTTTCTTTTTATTTTGGATGTTTTGATTTTATGTAAAAGCCTAACCAGGGACACGGGCCGCAAACTAGCTTTACGCTATATGCCCTATGTACACAGCATCGGTTGTCTACTGTAACAATGCTTAGTGTATTGTCCCTGTTAAATAAACAAATAAAATAAAAAATAAATGTATATATATTTTAATATTTGTTATTTTGTGCAGCGTGAGACTGAATAAAACAAATTCTTCTCTCTCTTGTCTTTGATTTTTAGTTTCACTCTTTCTCTGTAAACTAATAAATGTCTGACCTGTAAACCATTTCGTTTGTCGAGGTGTCGTCGAAAGCGTAATCGAAGCGAAACGTCTGGTTCTCCAGGTATCTGGTTAAATCCACTTTCTGCTTGGGCTCGTGGACCATGACCACGTCTTTACTGGGGATGGTGATGACGTCCAGATCCTTCATGGTCAGCTCTGAAAGTGGACAGATGATGTGGCGTATCGTAAACGGCACTAGACACTCACAGCATGAACATATGGTGGAATAAAAAGATTTCATCATCACCTTTCTTGTTCAGTGGACGTGTCCGCACACACACGCATATCCTGTGGTCCTCAATCTGAGAAAATATACATAATATTAATACATACATATTATAATACCATGCAATACTGTTGCAATCATGTGGAAATTAAATGACATAATGAGTGGTAATGATTCACCAGATCTTCAGTGGTCAGCGGTCTGTAGTCCAAACTCGCTCTGAAGTCTCGGATCATGCACATTATTTCATAATTAGGGGTTATGGCCTCGACATCCTGTGTAATAAAAAAACTCTCAGTTAATATTATAAGAGTTAGAACATATTAACTTTCTTGGGATGTTAAGTCATGTCAACAGTCGAGACATTTTTTTTTCAGTATGCATATATCGTTATTTCAGTTTTAGTTATTTTAGTACAAGTTAAATAATTAAAAAAAAATATATATATTTATATAATGGTTTTAGTCTTAAAAAGCAACATAAGCCATTTGTCAAGCCAACAATATTCATAGGAAATAATAAATAAAATTGTTTATATAGTTTAATATGCATTAAGCAACATAACACAATATATTTCTAAACATATAATAATAAAATGTTATCATAATACGCATTAGGCAATAAAACATATCACAACATATTTAAATAAATATAATGTTCCCCATTTTTCAAACCTTGTCAGTACACAGTAACAGTGTTTTGTCACCTGCGCTCTTTTCTCTCTCAGCTCCTGCTGCTGCAATCGTCTCCTCTCCCGCTTCTCCTGAAGCTTCTCCACTTCCTTCACACAGTTGGACTTCCTGCGAGCTGAACACACACAGAAAACTCAATGCAAACAGACATCAATGTTTAACAAACAGTTATCATTTGATCAGCTAAACCTGATTCGCTCGTTTTAATAAGCATTTTATTTGACATAATTCCAAAGTCTGGATTAGCTTGTGTTAAATGTGTTTGAGTGAATCCCTCAACAATGGCATCATGAGGGGTCATCTCTGAGACAACAACTCTAAATGCGGCTTTTGTTTTGGTGTGACGGCAGACAACAGTCGTTTGTGACGGCGCTGAGAGCCCTTCAGCTCCTCCATCACTGCTGGAGTCTCTTCATACACTCACAGATCAGAGATTACACACCCAGGTATTCATAAAACATCTCAACAATAATTACACTACTGTTCAAAGGTTTGGGGACGGTGTTTTTGGAAAGAAGTCTCTTCTGCTCACCAACATTTGATCAAAAACAGTAAAAACAGAAATATTATTACAATTTAAAATAATTGCTTTCTTTTTGAATTTTTTATGTAAATTCAATCATGACAACTCTCTGAATAGTTTTAGCATGTTATTGAATATGGCAGTGTTAATGTATTTGGTCTTGGTGGACTAGATCTGCTACGCTGCTGCTGTTGATTATTGCTGCTACAGAGCAAGTATGGACTTACTTCTGCTAATAGATACACAGACACACTGCTGTGAGCATGTAAGATATGATGCGGCTGCATAAATATATATATAAATCCCACAGCAGATCGAGGCAGGTGGAGCTGGGGGAGGTGGAGGGTTTCAGAGGACCAGCTTACTACAACAAACAATGAACCAGACTATCTAAATGCTGAGCAAGCAATCTCATTGGCTGCAGGATCAGCGGAGGCCAATCAGAGAGTTTCATGACTGAACTAGATATTTATTCCTGTGATCAAAGCTGAATTTTCAGCATCATTACTCCAGTCTTCAGTGTCACATGATCCTTCAGAAATCACTCTAATATAATGATTTGCTGCTCAAGAAACATTTCTGATTATCATCCATGTTGAAAACAGTTGTGCTGCTTAATATTTGTGTGAAAACTGATACATTAAGGATTCTTTAATGAATACAAACTTCAAAAGAACAGCATTTATCTGAAACCGAAATCTTTTGTAACATTATAAATGTCTTTACTGCCACTTTTGATGGATTAAATGCATCCTTGCTGAATAAGTCTTGATTTCTGTGTGGTACCGTTCTGCTGCTGCTGTAGGGTTTGGTGTTGTATCGGTGGAGGCGGAGTGGGCGCTGGTGGAGGAGGTTCGATCTGTTGACTCGGCCGCGCTCGAGTCGTACCTACAGAGACTGAATAATGGAGATCACATCATCACAGACCACGAAAAGACCAGACCGTTTAGACACACATGCTTATTTATGACTCTTCTTTAGCACTGTTAAGTTATCAAAACTCTGAAATAACACAAATAGAAATTTGGGAATGATGTTGTGATAAAAAAGGGGTACAAAAGACATCAGTATGGATTTGAACGCTTTACCTTTATTACACACTTTAACTCATCCATTAAGAGAAAAACGTGTAAGCACAATTATATATATATATATATATTTGTCTGTTATTAAAAATACTTTTCTAAATATTAGATGAAAAACTTAAACTTAAAATGAAAATTAGAAATGTTGGCTTGGCAGCTAACTGAAATAAAATACTAAAATTACACAAAAACAAAATTAAAATAAAGATAAATTAAGAAATATATATAAAAAATAATGTAAACTAATAAAGCACAATTTTATCTAAAATTAAAAAGAAAACAAAAAAAAAATTATAAATAAAAGGTCATTCAAAAATGTATCAAATGCTATATTTTATTAATAATATTTAAGTAACAATGATTTAAAGCATCAAAGTGTTTTATAATCCCATGCAACATATTCAATATGTTAAAACACATACTGTTGAAATCAATATCTGCTAAAATGAATACAATTTGAGACTAAAATTGTAACAGTAGTAGTTTATGATAAAAAACATTTTTAATAACTTGTACATCATACCTCGATTATCCCTTGCAGGAGTTTCATTTTTTGGTGGTGCTGCAGTTCGGCGATTCTACAAAAGATGAATCAAGAAAATAAACATGTTTTGAAAAGTCCAGTCTGCAATCTAGCTACAAAATAAAATATATCTACACAATAAAATCATTCACAGTGAATTTATGCCACATTATAGCTTTGTGTCGACAGTTATCTAGACAGTCTATTAAATGGAAAAAAGTACTTTACTAATAATTACAAACTACATCTTCCTATAATTATTCATGCATTTATCATTAAATTATTCATGCACAAGAGCTTATGGGTGATCTCCCAATGTAGGATGACACAAAGCAAGTTATTTTAGTCATTTTCTTTGTTTAACGACGGGAATTTACCCAGCCTTCTTTGAACGTAAAAACTGAAAACAGTGTTTTATGACTTTATGACTCCTGTCTGGAAATCCAGTTATAAAAGCCAAGTGCGCTACAATCATCTGTCCACCGCTGTACTAATTTCTCTTCTTGGTTACGACTATTATGGTGCAGCGAAATGGACACCAACCTTGTTTTGGGGGATCTTGTTGATTTTGACGGCACTCGACACGGGTGGCGGAGGGGTTTCAGGACTTTGTGGGATTTCCTCTTCAGGTGCAATATCTGGATTTAGTGCAAATATGCTTTCCAGATCGATCTGTTCACAGGGAACGAGAGCATGAGGCAGCCGGTTTTAAAAAGCACTTTACTCACAGCACATGAGCACATACTGTAGGACTCTCCACAGTTGTAAAAGCTGCTAAATAAAACCATCCCACTGGACAGAAAAATTACAAATGAGATCTCAGTTTCGCAACAGTTTTTCCTGGACAGCAATTAGATTAACCGGTCATTTTGAACCGGAGAGGATTTTCTGTTATTGCATAGGACAAAAACTTACTAAATTTTCTCACACAGAAAGAATATAACATCTCATAAGGATTTTCAACTCAGCACAAGGGTTTAACAGAGACGAGCTTCAGAAGAGATCTCGAAGTGCGCTCAGATTTACCTGCAATCAAAGGTCAGAGATCTCAACAGGAACTCAAATATTTTTCATTCAATTCCTTTAGGACCAAATGATCTGAACTGCTATCCAGATTCATTTTTATAGCTTTATTTCTCATGAGGATTGATTGGAGAAACATCTGAGATCAAGTTGAGTTACATGAAACAATTTCATTCATTTATTCATTCATTTTATTTATAAAGCACTTTACAACTGCACATGCACGTAGGGTTGTGCAGTATACCGGTACTGGGAAAATACTTGCATGTATTTTATTTAAAATGGTACGATATCATGGTTTTGCTAATATCTGTAGCCTACTTGTCATGCTGCTGTACCCAAACAGATGTGAAACCGGCAAATGTGACAACATACTAGAGGAACAAAATGGATAAAGCAGTTGAATCTCACTCAACAATAAAGAGGGCAGTAGAAGTGAAATTTGGAATTACTTTGCTATTATAAAACTGATGAAGAACCATCAAACCTTGCCAAGCATCTGTCACTTGCCCATCCTGACTATAAGACATTACGAGATCGACAGTGTGCATCATTCAAACGATCTAATTTAGACATTTATTTTCTTTTAACACTGATCAACGCACACAAGTTACATAATATCATATCGTTTTAAATAACACGATGTTACAGCGTGCGCTTGACACATCATAACCAGTATTAGCACTTACATTTAGGAAGGTCTAACAGAATAGATAACACTGGATAGTAACACTGTTAATACATTACACAGTTAAATCCTTATAATTAAAGTTACAAAAGTTATTTAGTGACAGACAGCAGCATCACAGACACGGTCACAGATCCGATACATGCGATGACGCATACTATTACACCATTTACATTCACGTAAGACATCACCGACTGTGTTTATGTAAATACTCACCAAGACGGACATTTTTGACAATTTTGTGTGTATTTTTGACTGTTAGAGGAAAAACAACTCAATTGACCGTTCGCAAAGACCCGCCCCCTTTAGTTACTGTTGCTATGTTCGACAAAGCTACGCCGCTCTCACGACGTGAAAAATACATCGCGGAGCAGCGAGGACACTGACAACGCGCTGACAGACAGGACAGACCATAGACAAAATAAATACATAGACCCCCTATTGGCCGCTGGAGCGTACGTCAACGGCGCCGCCATGTTGGGGATGGCAACTTTCCCATACCTCTCATACCGGGAATTGAGAAAAATGCCTGTTTTGTGCGCTGTTTGGGGCTGTACACATCGCCACTCAATGGAAAATAGCTTTCGAGGAATTACCTTTCACAAGCAAGAATGAACGTTTGTTTTGGGTTTTATTTGGTCATGATTTAATTAGTAATAGTAACGTTCAGAGGATACATTTAAAAATACTACTGTTATTGTGTCACGAAATGTAGTTTTAATAGTTTTTCAGTCGACAATGTAGTTGTTTAAAGCTCAAATATGTGGTTTGTTTATAAAGATAGCGCCTATTTAAAAATTTGATCTGACGTTTTCGGAGTTGTAAGATGCGCTCAGCGCTCGTCTACCCCGCCTGGAACAGCCGTACCTCGGCCAGTGCTTTTGAAGTTTTGCCGCTGACTCGGATGTCTGTAGTCTAGTGGTTAAACATGAGATATAATTCGTCTTGTGTATATCTAACGGGCGATCTTTGGTCTCATTAATCTATAAATGGTTCCCTGGCAAATCGTTTTGGCTGAGGGCAAAGTGAAGTTTCATAACTTTATATTTAGGCTATTTTAACATTGTATCCTGCTGTATGTTTGACCAAAGTCCTTTTAGGCAAGTCGTGCCACTCGGCCGCCATCTTGGCAACGCCTCCGGGCAGCTATTTCGGACTAACAAGACCAGGCTCCTATCTAAATGAATGGGCAGAGAGTCAGAACTGCACTTTCACTGGTCACCGGGACATAAAAACTGCATGTATAGAAACAGCAGTAAAATATGATAAAAATCGCTGAAAAAGTTTGATGACTTTGCCCCAAAATAAGATTTAAAACGCCTTTTCCCCCACAGGTTATACTTTACTACGCATGCGCAAGGGTTCTCTCCCTCTGACGTGCGCGCGCTGCACGGTTTGAAACACAGTATGTGTGAGCTCTCGCTCGCTCGCTCTAGTTTCCGGGAGATTTGAACTAATTTTGGGCATCAGGGAGCCCCTATAAATATGCGGTAGACACTTGGGGATGTCTGATATCTACACAACGCACACATACACTGCATATCAAATCTGCCGCCTTTTCAAACAGTAACGTATTTTCCACTGTCGCAAACCTCAACTGTGCGCATGCGTCAGTGGAACCAGACGATAGGCTTAAATGTTTCCCGGCTTGACTGTTAAAGGCAGACGATTGGCTTTCCAGCGGGAGGGGCGGGACATGTGCATACAACCGCCATCTTTGGCGTTACGGGTTTTCCCTATATAGTTGTATTGAGGATTGAGTAAGTGGCATGTCTCTATATAAATAGTCTCTGGTTTGACTGAAGCTACTTCTGTTATAATGGCTATTACCAGTGGCGTAGACAGGGGAGGGGCCATGGGGGCACTGGCCCCTCCTGAAAACTGATTGGCCCCCCGGTGTGCCCCCACCCTTCTACTTGTCTGTCATTCAAAAATTCAAATCATAATCTTTCAGTTTGTAGTAGAATAATTCATGATTCCGCGTCGCGATGCTTCTCAACGAGGACCAAGAATAGCGAGCTATCGCTTTTTCTATTTCTTTTTCATTTTTTTTGACCCAGCGCCAATATTTCCGCCCGTGTTCTCTGATTTGTTACTTAGACTTGAGTGAACTAACATTCAGCCAATCACAGCGCGAAGCATCTATTGGGCGCGTCTGCCATGTGCTTCAAATCTCTTGTTGCTCTTGCGAATTTTCGTGTTCGTTTAGTTGCAGTTTGTTTGGCCGTCTAATCTATTCTGTTTGGCCGTCTAATCTATTCCATGCATGCACCCCAGAAAAAAAGCAGAGGACGATTACATAATTTTTTTGACACACACTGTAAGTATAATCTGTTACAGTATGTCGCGATGACATGAATCACACGTAAAGTTTCCTTGTTATGATTTAACCTACTGTAACGCAGTAACGTGTAAGACAACAGAACCCGTATGGACCTCGTCGCGCCGGATTGTGTCGAGTGTGTGTTAAATGCTCTCTTACTTGTTGCTTTGGATAAAAGCGTCTGTTAAATGAGACATAACAGATTATTCCCAGCAGGCACACAACGTCATAAGACGTTGATATTTGGTTAAATTTTAGTTGCGACGTCGGGTGACCAAAATTCAATGTAAATTCAACATCTAATGTCAATGTTAAATTGATGTCCAATACCGAATACATTGATTTAGGTTTTATTAATATATTTTTTATAAAATGTCTGTTGTATAAAATTACTGGCTAGATGTAATCTGTATAACGTTACTACTCATTGAACACTTTGTTTTGTCCAACTGTTAAGAAGTAAGATAAAAGTTATTGTTCAAGTGCAGTTTAACTGAAATATTGTAAATATCATAAAATATCTTTATTTCATAAAAATAAAGTATAGATGTTCACAGTTGTCTGAAAGTCCCAAGTCCTGCAATATTTTTTTATTTCGAGTATGAATTCACAAAAATAGGTTGCTGTAAGCTATCATGGCATGTTCCCAAAATTGGCATAGGGTGCTGTAAAATGCCAATTGCTATTCCATCTAGAATTTATTATTATGAAAATCACCTTTCAGTCCCTCCAGAAAAACGCGATTATGCGATCGCATGATTCAATGCATAATCAGCCAAAGTCATTTATGCGGGGGCATTTTTTCAAATACGCCGCACTTTTGCCGTATAAATTGCCGATTTCTACGCAAAATATGCCGGGCTTGTATGATTTCATAATCCCCGCATTTTTGTTGCAAAAAAGAAAGTCACATAGCAGAAAGTTAAAAAATGTTGCGTTTACTTCACACAAGAGCAGCCATTTCCCCCTGTTGCCATGGGAACGTTATGAAGTGACGTAATTACGCGACATGAACATCATTGAAAAGCTGTAAAACAGGAAACATTTTTTCATATTTTATTTATTAATTTTTACAGAAGTTGTAGCATATTCCTTTTGTAAAGCTACAGAACTTGTTTGACTCATCAATGTTTTGTAAGTTTGAGCCATGTGTTTTTTAAGGTCTGAAATAAAACAAAATGAAATATTCCAGCACTTTCTGTGATGTAGTATGCTTGCTTATCATAGGAAGTAATAAGAAATAGCTCTTTACATTAAGATAGTAGCCTAGTGAGAACAGGGTGTTAGGGAATCACTTTTTCTCTCTTTTTCATCAAACCGCAGTTTTTGCAAGTTCCCGCAATTTCATCACATAAAATTGCATAAATATCATGCATATTCCATCGCCGCATAATCAAGGATTTAAAAAAGATTTATTACAATTTTATTACAGTTATATGAATTCATTAATTGTGTATTTATTATATGAATTATTAATATAATTATGCATTTATATAAATAAGGCTGTTCTATTATTATTTGTGAGTTGTACACTAATACATTGGATTATTTTATTTATTACAGTTTTTGTTTCACTTTTGTAAAGTGAAAAGTTAATATAAATTGCATTTTATTGTTTTGATTTTGAGCAGTGAATAA